AAATCCAGACCTCCATGGGTTGATACATTTGATTTCCATTGATAATTTTTGTGTGATTTTGTTGTCAGCACATTCAACTATGTAAAGAAAAAAGTATTTAATAAGATTATTTCATTCATTCAGATCTAGGATGTGTTGTTTAAGTGTTCCCTTTATTTTTTTGAGCAGTGTATATAGGCAGCAGCCGCTAATGTGCTAGTGAAGGCTATTTAACAGTCTGATGGCCTTGAGAAATAAGCTGTTTTTCAGTCTCTCATTCCCAGCTTTGATGCACCTGTACTGACCTCGCCTTCTGGATGATAGCGGGGTGAACAGGAAGTGGCTCGGGTGGTTGTTGTCCTTGATGATCTTTTTGGCCTTCCTGTGACATTGGGTGCTGTAGGTGTCCTGGAGGGCTGGTAGTTTGCTGGAGGGCTCTGTGCAGGCCAGTCAAGTTCTTCCACACCGATCTCGACAAACCATTTCAGTATGGACCTCACTTTGTGCACGGGGGCATGTCATGCTGAAACAGGAAAGGGCCATCCCCAAACTGTTGCCACAAAATTGGAAGCACAGAATCATCTAGAATGTCATTGTATGCTGTATCGTTAAGATTTCCCTTCACTGGAACTAAGGGGACTAGCCCGAATCATGAAAAACAGCCCCAGGACATTATTCTTCCTCCATCAAACTTTACAGTTGACACTATGCATTCGGGCAGGTAGTGTTCTCCTGGCATTCGCCAAACCCAGATTAGTCCGTTGGACTGCCAGATGGTGAAGTGTGATTCATCACTCCAGAGAACGCATTTCCACTGCTCCAGAGTCCAATGCCGGCGATTTTTACACCACTCCAGTCGATGCTTGGCATTGCGCATGGTGATCTTAGGCTTGTGTGGGGCTGCTCGGCCATGGAAACCCATTTCATGAAGCTCCCGACAAACAGTTTTTGTGCTGACATTGCTTCCAGAGGCAGTTTGGAACTCGGTAGTGAGTGTTGCAACCGAGGACAGCCCTATTTTTATGTGCTACGCACTTTAGCACTGGGCGGTCCAGTTCTGTGAGCTTGTGTGGCCTACCACTTCGCGGATGAGCCGTTGTTGTGATGTGGACACCGAGGAACTTCAAGCTCTTGACCCACTCCACTACAGCCCCATCGATGTGAATGGGGGTGTGCTCGGCCCTTTGTTTCCTGTAGTCCACGATCATTTCCTTTTCTTGCTGACATTGAGGGAAAGGTTGTTGAGATGTTGTTGGCCCACCAGAGGTTGGTTCCCTGGCGCTCACTGTAGGAACTGATTGCCTGTAAAATCCATATATTCAATAATTAAATCAACTACTTTCAAAATGTTAATTGAAAATAATATCCCCCTTTTCATTAAGTAGATTTTATTGCATGTCACTCATTCTATTGCACTCTATTCTAACCAAACCTGCATTACCAGTTCATATCAGTAGGTGTCACTATGCACTAGCTAGTCGAAAAAGACTGATGATGGCTGCCTGTCTTTTTATTGGTGAAAGTTATGGTGGTGCTAGAATCCATAAATTCTCTCTTTCTGCATTAGCCATATATCTGTTATGGTTGGACAAATGTGTTCATATTGTTTGTGTAGACTGCTCTGTGGCAGAATTTGTAGGTTTGTTACTTTTAAGACAGTGAAATGTGTGCCACAAACATTATTGAATAATCACCAGCAGTGGAAATACAATTATATTACTGGACCAACATTTTTACATTGACATTTTAGTAATTTAGCAGACGCTCTTATCCAGAGCGACTTACAGTGGTGAGCGTTACATTTTCATACTTTCTTCATACTGGTCCCCCGTGTTTACTGACTAACCTTTCCAGGAACTTCAGTCTCCATTGGCCTTGGGTAGCAGCAGGATATTGTTTCATCTTCTTTATCCTGTGCCAAACACATTTATTCAGTGAGTCTAAATTATTAACGTTAGCTGCTGGCTGCATGATTGCATCAAACAAGCTAGCTAATGTTAGCTAGCTATAGATTGGATAATTCTAGCTAGTTTTAGAGGATGACTGCTTTTATTAACACATACACTACCGTTCAAAAGTTTGGGGTCACTTAGAAATGTCCTTGTTTTCGAAAGAAAAGCAATTTTTTTGTCCATTAAAATAATATCAAATTGATCAGAAATACAGTGTATACATTGTTAATGGCTATTGTAGCTGGAAACGGCTGATTTTTAATGGAATATCTACATAGGCGTACAGAGGCCCATTATCAGCAACCATCAGTCCTGTGTTCCAATGGCACCTTACATTTACATTTACATTTTAGTCATTTAGCAGACGCTCTTATCCAGAGTGACTTACAGTTGGTGAGTGCATACGTTATGTTTTTCATACTGGCCCCCCGTGGGAATCGAACCCACAACCCTGGCGTTGCAAACGCCATGCTCTATCAACTGAGCTACATCCCTGCCGGCCATTCCCTCCCCTACCTACCCTGGACGACGCTGGGCCAATTATTCGCCGCCCCATGGGTCTACCGGTCGCGGCCGGCTACGACAGAGCCTGGATTCGAACCAGGATCTCTAGTGGCACAGCTAGCACTGCGCCACTCGGGAGGTTGTGTTTGCTAATCCAAGTTTATCATTTTAAAAGGCTAATTGATCATTAGAAAACCCTTTTGCAATCATGTTAGCACAGCTGAAAACTGTTGTGCTGATTAAAGAAGCAATAAAAACTGGCCTTCTTGAGACTAGTTGAGTATCTGGAGCATCAGCAATTGTGGGTTCGATTACAGGCTCAAAATGGCCAGAAACAACTAACTTTCTTCTGAAACTCGTCAGTCTATTCTTGTTCTGAGAAATGAAGGCTATTCCATGCGAGAAATTGCAAAGAAACTGAAGATCTCATACAACGCCGTGTACTACTCCCTTCACAGAACAGCGCAAACTGGCTCTAACCAGAATAGAAAGAGGCGTGGGAGGCCCCGGTGGACAACTGAGCAAGAGGACAAATACATTAGTGTCTAGTTTGAGAAACAGACGCCTCACAGGTAAAAAGTACCCACAAAGCACCAGTCCCAACGTCTACAGTGAAGAGGTGACTCCGGGATGCTGACCTTCTACAGGTCCTCTGTAGCTCAGCTGGTAGAGCACGGCGCTTGTAACGCCAAGGTAGTGGGTTCGATCCCCGGGACCACCCATACACAAAAATGTATGCACGCATGACTGTAAGTCGCTTTGGATAAAAGCGTCTGCTAAATGGCATATTATATTATTATATTATAGTTGCAAAGAAAAAGCCATATCTCAGACTGCCCATCTTAATCTTTTCTTTTTATTGGTCAGTCTGAGATATGGCTTTGTACCAGATCTTCAGTTTCTTGGCAATTTCTCGCATGGTAATAGCCTTCATTTCTCTGAACAAGAATAGACTGATTCTGGCCATTTTGAGCCTGTAATCGAACCCACAATTGCTGATGCTCCAGATACTCAACTAGTCTCAAGAAGGCCAGTTTTATTGCTTGATGGCACCACACCAGATTAAAAAGTACTGGGGAAAATGCTGTCTCACCACAAGTTTTCCGGAAGCTCTGGTGTCAAGTAATTGTCTTTTTGTTTTCTCATGATTTGGTTGGGTCTAATTGTGTTACTGTCCTGGGACTCTATGGGGTCTGTTTGTGTTTGTGAACAGAGCCCAAAACTGAGGGGACTCTTCTCTACGTTAATCTCTCTGTAGGTGAGGGCTTTGTTATGGAAGGTTTGGGATCGCTTCCTTTTAGGTGGTTGTAGAACTCACTGGCTCTATTCACACACACACTCACTCACACTCACTCACTCACTCACTCACTCACTCACTCACTCACTCACTCACTCACTCACTCACTCACTCACTCACTCACTCACTCACTCACTCACTCACTCACTCACTCACTCACTCACTCACTCACTCACTCACTCACTCACTCACTCACTCACTCACTCACTCACTCACTCACTCACTCACACACACACACACACACACACACACACACACACACACACACACACACACACACACACACACACACACACACACACACACACACACACACACACACACACACACACACAGTGCGTCAATTGAGCCTCCCATCAGCGCTCCGGGCCACAGCAATAAGATTATTTGCAGATCTGGCAGGGGCATCCTCATTAGTCTGTAGTGCCTGCATGTGTTCAATTAGTACACCGTTTGGGAGGCTCACTTTGTATACACTGTATATGTAAATGTGTAGACTATGTACTGTATACAGTGTAACATAATGTCCTTTAATGTACTGAAACTGGACAGACACAGATAAGCAAATACACAGTATGTTACTGTAGCAACCAGAGAGAACAGATTTAGATGGAAAGCTGTTGTTCCTTATTCTCCTGCTTTATTAACAATTCTTAGGTCTGATAGTGAGTGCGCGTGCGTGTGAGTGCTTGCCAGTCTGTGCTTGCCAGTGTGTGAAGTCTGCGTGGCAGGTTTCATGAATCCCTGCTTTCCATCAGTGTTGATGTGGCTTCGGATTTGATCTCCTTGTTGGCAGTGTCCTATGAAAACCTGCCAGGTCTTGCATACACTAACAGCCTTTATGAAAAGCCTCGAAGCAGAATGATCGATGAAACAATGATAATCTCTCAAATTGAAATGCGTACTCACCACTTTGTTGTGGAGTCTTAACGTTCACAATCCGTGAATGGCCATTTTGTCTGCCATCGTTTCATATGAGAGTCATCGTCACCTTCATGTTTCACCCTGTAATTTTCAAGAGGATATAAGTCCCCTGTAGCTCAGTTGGTAGAGCATGGCGCTTGCAACGCCAGGGTTGTGGGCTTGTTTCCCACAGGGGGCCAGTATGAAAAATGTATGCACTCACTAACTGTAAGTCGCTCTGGATAAGAGTGTCTGCTAAATGACTCAAATGTAAATGTAAAATGTTATGGAGCTGATGCTCAGACCAGATTCTGTTCAGTTGTAATGTGAAGAAAAGTTAACGCTGTTAACTTCCCTCTTAAAAAATGACAGATGCCTTTGCCCATTGGGGTAAGAAACAAATTGCATGTCAAAGTGCCTACCCCCTTAAGACAATGATTTGCAACCCTGATCTCTTGCCGACAGAATGTTAATGTGGTTGCCAGCGCAGTGAGAAATACATTACTAGCGCCTATTGTACAGTATATCATCCCAGAAGTCCCTGTCATCACAGTGATGCTGCTGGCCATCTAAGTATGGTGGCCCCCAGGGGTCAGACATAGTTATTTATCTCCTGGAGGAGAATAGGCAGGCCTTTAATCATCATCACAGGAGTACTACCTAGTCCTGAGTGCAATTAGGCCCTTTTTATCATGGGCTGCCTCAGAGAGTGTGCCAGACTGTCTGATGAGCTGTCTGGACACGTCTGCCTTCCTTCTTCAGAGAGAGACTGACCTCTAATCAATGCTGCAGTCAAGTGCCCTTGACTGTGCTCTTATAGCCTACCTTACCCTCCTCTACCTTACAGCACTCCATGGGGTGGTCTGGCACTGCTTTGTGTTTATCAAGAAAGGCCACCCATTCCATTCCACTGTTAAAGGGCAATATTTCACCACTTTTCAACCTCATATTAATTATCTATAATCAAATCAAATTGTATTTGTCACATACACGTGTTTAGCAGATGTTATTGCGGGTGTAGCGAAATGCTTGTGCTTCTAGCTCCGACAGTGCAGTAATATCTAACAAGTAATATCTAACAATTTCACAACATATACCCAATACACACAAATCTAGTAAGGAATGGAATTTAAGAATATATACATATATGGACAAGCAATGACAGAGCGGCATGGACTAAAATACAGTAGAATATTATAGAATGCAGTATATACATATGAGATGAGTAATGCAAGATATGTAAACATTATTAAAGTGACTAGTGTTCCATTTCTTAAAGTGGCCAGTGATTTCAAAAGGTAGCAGCAGCCTCTAATGTGCTAGTGATGGCTATTTAACAGTCTGATGGCCGAGATATAAGCTGTTTTTCCTTCTCTTGGTCCCAGCTTTGATGCACCTGTACTGACCTCGCCTACTGGATGATAGTGGGGTGAACAGGCAGTGGCTGTCACGCCCTGGCTCTGGGGACTCTAGTATGTTGAGCCAGGGTGTGAGTTTTCATTTGTTTGTGTTCTAGTTGTTGTATGTCTATGTTGGCCAGGGTGGCTCCCAATCAGAGACGGCTGTAGCTCGTTGTCTCTGATTGGGAGTCATACTTAGGTAGCCGTTAGGCATTCATTATTTGTGGTTTCTTGTTCCGTGTTGGTTCGTGTATGTAACCAGGGACGTCACGTTTTCGTTTTGTTGTTTTTGTTCGTGTGTTCATTTATTTAATAAAATGTTCGCATTCAACGCTGCGCCTTGGTCCTCCTCTGTAGATGACGATCGTGACAGAAGAAACCACCAAAACTGGACCAAGCAGCGTGAAGAGGAGAGAGGAAGGACTTGGGATCAATGGAGTAGAGGTCTCGACTGGGCTAAGCCAAGTGAAGAGCAGAGAGGTTGGAATTGGGAGCAGTGGAGTGAGAGTTGGGCGAGAACCATGGAGGCCTGGTCCATGGGGGAGAGACAAGCCCAGAACATTTTTAGGGGGGGGCTCACGACGGGGCAGCAGGAGGCCGCGATGGAGCGGTCCAGCGGGTTGGCAGAGGAGGCCGCCAGGTTAAGGGGGCCACTGGTCACGAAGGGGAAGGAAAGTGTGGAGGCACGGCGAGAGGTACTGGGGTGTGTTACCAGTCCGGTCCGGCCCGTTCCTGATCCCCACGTAGGGCCAGTGGTGTGTGTTCCCAGTACGGTCCGGCCTGTTCCTGCCACTCGCACCAAGTCAGTGGTGCGCTTCGTCAGCCCGGCACGGCCCGTTCCTGCTCCCCGCACCAAGTCAGTGGTGCGTTTCGTCAGCCCGGCGCGGCCCGTTCCTGCTCCCCGCACCAAGTCAGTGGTGCGCTTCGTCGGCCCGGCACAGCCCGTTCCTGCTCCCCGCACCAAATCAGTGGTGCGCTTCGTCAGCCCGGTCCGGCCCGCTCCTGCTCCCCGCACCAAGTCAGTGGTGCGTTTCGTCAGCCCGGCGCGGCCCGCTCCTGCTCCCCACACCAAGCCAGTGGTGTGCGTCGTCAGTCCGGCACGGCCCGTTCCTGCTCCCCGCACCAAGTCAGTGGTGCGCTTCGTCAGCCCGGTCCGGCCCGCTCCTGCTCCCCGCACAGAGTCAGTGGTGCGTTTCGTCAGCCCGGCGCGGCCCGCTCCTGCTCCCCACACCAAGCCAGTGGTGTGCGTCGTCAGTCCGGCACGGCCCGTGCCTGTTCCACCGGTGGCTGGTCCGGCACCGGTCAGATGCTTCACGCCGGAGCTAGAGCAATCCGCTCCACCAGTGTGCAGTCCAGCTCCGGCCAGCGGGGCCAGACCGGACCAGGGGTACTTTGGGGGGTTGGAGAGGGAGCGGGGATCAGGCCCGGAGCCGGATCCGCCGCCTAGGTGGAGTGCCCACCCTGTCCCTCCCCTGTGGTATTTGGTTGGCGCGGTCGGAGTCCGCGCCTTTAGGGGGGGGTACTGTCACGCCCTGGCTCTGGGGACTCTAGTATGTTGAGCCAGGGTGTGAGTTTTCATTTGTTTGTGTTCTAGTTGTTGTATGTCTATGTTGGCCAGGGTGGCTCCCAATCAGAGACGGCTGTAGCTCGTTGTCTCTGATTGGGAGTCATACTTAGGTAGCCGTTAGGCATTCATTATTTGTGGTTTCTTGTTCCGTGTTGGTTCGTGTATGTAACCAGGGACGTCACGTTTTCGTTTTGTTGTTTTTGTTCGTGTGTTCATTTATTTAATAAAATGTTCGCATTCAATGCTGCGCCTTGGTCCTCCTCTGTAGATGACGATCGTGACAGTGGCTCGGGTGGTTGATGTCCTTGATTATCTTTTTGGCCTTCCTGTGACATCGGGTGCTGTAGGTGTCTTGGAGGGCGGGTAGTTTACCCCTGGTAATGCGTCCGGCAGACCGCACCACCCTCTGGAGAGCCCTGCAGTTGGGGGAGGTGCAGTTGCCGTACCAGGCGGTGATACAGCCCGACAGGATGCTCTCAATTGTGCATCTGTAGAAGTTTGTGAGGGTTTTAGGTGTCAAGCCAAATGTATTCAGCCTCCTGAGGTTGAAGAGGCTCTGTTGCACTTTCTTCCCCACACTGTCTGCGTGGGTGGACCATTTCAGTTTGTCAGTCATGTGTACGCCAAGGAACTTGAAGCTTTCCACCTTCTCCACTGCGGTTCCGTTGATGTGGATAGGGGGGTGCACCCTCTGCTGTTTCCTGAAGTCCACGATCATCTCCTTTGTTTTGTTGACGTTGAGTGAGAGGTTATTTTCCTGGCACCACACTCCCAGAGCCCTCACCTCCTCCTTGTTGGCGGTCTCGTCCTTGTTGGTAATCAAGCCAACTACTGTTGTGTCATCTGCAAACTTGATGATTGAGTTGGAGGCGTGCTTGGCCACGCAGTCATGGGTGAACAGGGAGTACAGGAGGGGGCTGAGCGCGCACCCTTATTGGGGCCCCAGTGTTGAGGATCAGTGAAGTGGAGATGTTGTTTCTTACCTTCACCACCTGAGGGCAGCCCGTCAGGAATTCCAGGACCCAGTTGCACAGGGTGGGGTTCAGACCCAGGGCCTCAAGCTTAATGATGAGCTTGGAGGGTACTATGGTGTTGAAAGCTGAGCTATAGTCAATGAACTGCATTCTTACATAGGTATTCCTCTTGTCCAGATGGGATAGGGCAGTGTGCAGTGTGATGGCGATTGCATCGTCTGTGGATCTATTGGGGCGGTAAGCAAATTGGAGTGGGTCTAGGGTGACCGGTAAGGTAGAGGTGATATGATAGTGATTAGTCTCTCTAAGCACTTCATGATGAGAGGTCGGTGCTACGGGGCGATAGTCATTTAGTTCAGTTACCTTTGCTTTCTTGGGTACAGGAACAATGGTGGCCATCTTGAAGCATGTGGGAACAGCAGACTGGGAATGGGAGAGATTGAATATGTCCGTAAACACACCAGCCAGCTGGTCTGCGCATGCTCTGAGGACGCGGCTAGGGATGCCGTCTGGGCCAGCAGCCTTGCGGGGGTTAACATGCTTAAATGTCTTACTCACATCGGCCACGGAGAAGGAGAGGCCACAGTCCTTGGTAGTGGGCCTCGTCGGTGGCACTGTGTTATCCTCAAAGCGGGCGAAGAAGGTGTTTAGCTTGTCTGGAAGCGAGACGTTGGTGTCGGTGACGTGGCTGGTTTTCTTTTTGTAGTCCATGATTGTCTGTAGACCCTGCCACATACGTCTCGTGTCTGAGCCGTTGAATTGCGACTCCACTTCGTCTCTATGCTGATGTTTTGCCAGTTTAATTGCCTTGCGGAGTGAGTAGCTACACTGTTTGTATTCTGCCATATTCCCAGTAACCTTGCCATGGTTAAATGCGTTGGTTCGCGCTTTCAGTTTTGCGCGAATGCTGTCATCTATCCACGGTTTCTGGTTAGGGTAGGTTTTAATAGTCACAGTGGGCACAACATCACCTATACACTTCCTGATAAACTCAGTTACCGTTTCAGTGTATTTGTCTTATCCCAGTCCGTGTGATCAAAACAATCTTGAAGCATGGATTCCGATTGGTCAGACCAGCGTTGAATAGTCCTTAGCACGGGTACTTCCTGTTTCTGCCTATAGGAAGGGAGGAGCAAAATGGAGTCATGGTCAGATTTGCCGAAAGGAGGGCGGGAGAGGGCCTTATAAACAGCTCCAGCACCATACCAGAGTCTACATATGTGAAAACGGCCATTTGGAAGACCACAATGTTAAGATTCATTTTTTCATTTTTTGTAATTTTCCATAATTAGTTTCTGTATACATGTACAGTTGGTAATGTGTCGTTAACTTGAAATATGAGTGTTTCACTTTGAGTAATGCTGCTTTTCCATGGTACGAGGTAGACGGTAGACGGCAAACCAGATGTCATTGTTTTCAATGAGAGAATGACGGTAAATGCCGTTGAGGCTGGCGGTGAATGCCGTCAGCCGCCACGGTAGACGGGACTTGCCGCCAGAGTTCAAATATTTCAACTTTTGCCGTCTGCCGTAGCATTGTTTTCTACAGGATGTTTGTTTACCGAAATCACCATAGCAATGCATACTGTCGTGCTGGCTTGCTTTTGCCGTCACTGTCTTTCTTGCTTTCTTGTCCCACTATGACTATTTTTTTTACATCCCTCGTCTAAACGCAGCATAAAACTCCTTGTTTGGCTCCTGAATGTTAAAGCAATGAAACTAAGATCCCTGCACCCTTAATTTCTTAGCTTCATTGTGGCGTTTTTCTGCTTCCATCTCTTGTCGTTCCACTAATTTCTGTGTTTTTATTTTGACTCTCTCCATCCAGTCCCAGTCTCAAGACCCTCCAGCAGCAAATTATTGGCTGTGAGAAGTAGCAACATTTTCAAATCCTTATAGCATTTACATGCTGCGTCTGGGAACAGCTGCATCTGGGAACATGGATTGTGTCTGGGGTTCAAATGGCTGTAAATACAATTTGAGGATGAAAGAGAATAGCTTCGTAAATAAAGACATTTGTTTTACAAACTGTTTGTTTTGTCTGTTAATGGACTTTCAGATCATTTGAACTGACGACCTTGACCTCACCCAGACACAACACTTGATTAGGCTATTTGGCCCAATGCCACATGAAGTGCAGTTATTCCCGCATATGCACATTCAACAAATACCAAACCCGACAAAAACTTTGCCGCTGGCCAACAATCTGCTCTGACACACAAACAAAATGTTCCAATGTTTCCCTCCTCTAGATAAATAGATTGAGCGTTGCTGTAACTCTCCAAACCCCTCATGCTACCGAGATAAATTCACTGGTACGATCAACAATGCCTGACACACTAAATCCCTGGCTGATCACTCCAGGCATTTACTGCTTATCACACTGCCCAGTTTTAATGGCCACTCCTGGGCCAAAGCCAGATCCTTTCTTCCACCTTTTATAACATCCTCTGGTGGCTCATTCAGGCCCATGCCCCCAAGTAGACCCTAATATAGCACCAGACGTGAAAACAACAGAGGACAACAGAGGACATCCGAGTTTAACAGCGTTTGTGTCAAAAGCCAAATTCCTTCTATTTCTCGTTCTGGCTTTCGTAGTTTTGTTTTGGTACTCTCTGGTTTTGTTGAAGTTGGAAGTGTAGTGGATGTCTGCATGTCAGATGGTTTCTCATAGGCTTGAAAGGCAAGCCGCGTGACCACAGTGTCTTGAAATGATAACAGTAATGCGTGTCAGTGTCATTGTGGAATGCTGCTTGACATTGTGGAAAGATGTCTGTATATCAAAGAAACCAAGGAAAACATCTTTGTTCTCCATAAATTACTTAGAAAATGTCACTTGATGGCTTTAATGAAGTCAACAACTCTCTTCATAGAGACATACTGTACTTGACGTGACTGTTGTTTGCTGCCACATGTATCTTGTTGATTGTATTGATGTGGCTCCTTAGGATAACAAACGTGTAGCTTATAGAGCATTATCCACTGTGCAGGAAAGAAACCATTATGTTTTTGATAGGCACAGGTTTGTGCTGAGTATGTATTTTCCCATGGTAGTGCTCTTTGAAGCAGTATTATCCAGAAGAGAGGACCTTCAAACGGGCCCCTGAAGAACACCTAATGTCATAGGGGCCCCTGGATAAAGGCATAGAGAATCATTGAACTTTGACATGTTAAGGACAGATAAAACTGGCTGTTATGGAGAGGAACTGGATGACATGTTTACAGCCTTTGAGGAGGCTTGAATGGGGCCCTATGGTAATTTTCCATTGCCATTCCTGACCCAGGGAGTAACACTAACTTTTGTTGAAATAAATGGGATAGATATACTCCACTGTAGTGGTTGGTTGTCAAGATGCCGTTGGCTTTCCATGCTTTGATGGAATTTTCACAGGGCTTCTGTGGTTAGAGGGCTGGTTTTGTACATGTGTGCGTGTGTGTTTACTGGCCCTCCAGTGCTTGCTTTGCTAATTGTCCTGGCCTTCGTCCATCTGTCTACAGTTACCACCTGGCCCCATGAGATTGGCATGCGCCTGTATTTCTTGCTGATTGCTCTGTGTGTCTAAGGCTTCTCTATAAGAGGCTTGCAGGGCTTCTGGGGTTTAGGCAGAGCTCTTCCACTCCAGTACACTGCACAGCGAGAGCTCTTCCACTACAGTACACTGTACAGCGAGAGCTCTTCCACTACAATACACTGTACAGCGAGAGCTCTTCCACTACAATACACTGTACAGCGAGAGCTCTTCCACTACAATACACTGTACAGCGAGAGCTCTTCCACTACAATACACTGCACAGCGAGAGCTCTTCCACTACAATACACTGTACAGCGAGAGCTCTTCCACTACAATACACTGTACAGCGAGAGCTCTTCCACTACAATACACTGTACAGCGAGAGCTCTTCCACTACAATACACTGTACAGCGAGAGCTCTTCAACTACAATACACTGTACAGCGAGAGCTCTTCCACTACAATACACTGTACAGCGAGAGCTCTTCAACTACAATACACTGTACAGCGAGAGCTCTTCCACTACAATACACTGTACAGCGAGAGCTCTTCAACTACAATACACTGTACAGCGAGAGCTCTTCCAATACATACACTGTACAGCGAGAGCTCTTCCAATACAATACACTGTACAGCGAGAGCTCTTCCACTACAATACACTGTACAGCGAGAGCTCTTCCACTACAATACACTGTACAGCGAGAGCTCTTCCACTACAGTACAATCACACTGATTTGTTTATGATTTGCAGTATGTTTCTCACTCTCTGCTCTTTGTCATTTTTCGGCCACAGATGTTGACGAGTGTCAGGTCCACAACGGAGGCTGCCAGCACAGATGCATCAACACCAGAACCTCGTTCTACTGCGAATGCAACCCGGGCACCCGTCTGCACACAGATGGCCGGACCTGCATCGGTAAGGTGTAGGGTGAAATTGCCCTTAGACCAGCGGTTCCAAAACTAGGGGTCGCCTGTTTCACATGGGGTCGCCTGATATGAAAATAGGGTTGCATGATTTCTTTTTTTTTTACCCAAAAATGTTTTTTTTTTTTTTTTTTTGTATCTCAAAATCATTCATGTGGTTACCCTTAAAAATCTAAATGAAAACTATTGAAATCTAAAAGATACAATTCAATCAGAGTGCCCTTAGAACGTGGGAAAAGGCCGCACTTGACTGTTGCGCTTGAATCGGAATGATTCAAGTGCAACAGTCAAGTGCGGCCTTCCGTGCTTTCATGTGACCGAATGCTGCAGACAAAGCATTCACGGGTCATTATGTAGGAGTTTTGGTTACTGACTCAAAGGGAATACCCTGCCGTCTCCCTCAGAGCATTAAAACTCATGGTACCCTTCGTCAGCTCATATCTGTGTGAAGCTGGAGTCAGCAGTGCTCTCGTCTGCATTAAAACCAAATATCGATCCAGGTTGGATGTGACAGCAGTGATGAGGTGCGCACTGTTGACCACGCTCCCTGACTTTGAGAAGCTCTGACGCGACATGCATCAAGCACACCCATCTCATCAGTGATGGTGAGAGATAATGTCAGACTAATTTGCAATTGACTGTCTACCTCCACATTAAAAGTGTGTGATCGTGAGTTGAGAAGACAATTAGAAATACTGTTAGAATATTTTGCAATTGACTGCCATAGCCCTAAATAAAAATGTAAAAATTGGCTGTTAATTACATATTTTTTTGTGGTTGGGGCCGTGAGAATTGTCAAATATCAAAATGTAGTCGTGGAAGAAAAAAGTTGGGGAACACCTGCCCTAGACGGTGACCTTGGGTCAGTTTTGCATTTCCCCACTAATGGTTAAGGTTAGGCTTGGGGGAGGGGAAGCTGATTCTAGGGCTCTACCTAGGGGAACTTCACCCTGGAGCCATCAGTGAGACCTAAAGGGCTGTGGAGGGGTCACCTAAGGTCAACCAAGGTCAGGGGTGAGGGGGGTTGGGAGTGATAGGGGTTTGGGATGAAAGAGGTGGATCTGGTCCAACGCGCTGGCTGTATCCCATTGTTGCCCTCACCATCTGGAAGCTAGGCTATGGTAGAAGCTGGGACTCACATCAAAGCAGGGAAAGGGGTCTTCACCTTCTGCTTGTGTCAAAAGTGGGAATCAAAGAGTCTGTTGTGCTGGCAAAAGAGGTGTTTTCCCACTGTTCTCTAGCAGCCCTTACAGAGCAGGTTTGTGTCTGGGCATATATAGTAGCGCAGTGTCTGCCTCTCTCTTTTCTCTTTCTGTCTCTCTCACACGCATACACACATACACACAGACACACAGACACACTCAGAGAGCTCCTATTCTCTCAGGGCTATGGCACACAACAACAACATGTCAGGTTAACTCAAATCAAATCCCATTTTATTTGTCATATGCTCCGAATACAACTGGTGTAGACTTTACCGTGAAATGCTTTCTTATGAGCCCTTCCCAACAATGCAGAGTTTAATCCACTCGAGTCGATTGACACACTGGTGTACCAATCTAAGTAACATAATAAAAAAATCCCCATTAAAATCTGTCAGTTTAAGCTAGAGATATCTGGTTTTTTTTTGCATTGGATGAGTCTCAATCCACTGCATCCGCCGATGTCGCACTTCCGCATCTGCAGTGAAAGGTGGTAGTGCTAGAGCGGTGTTTGTCAGACCATGGACATCCCAAAAATCAGTATTCTCACTAAACGTCTGTAGAGTCCGAACGGTTTGACCTACAAACTACTATGGAAAGGGGAGACTCTCACAAACATGAAGGTGTTCCCCGTTTTGCTCTATGACCCCTCACAAGTGTCAGGGGACTCGTCTGAAGGTAACTGGTACAGGTTAAAAAAATTGTTTTTAAGTATGAAGGTAGTTTTGTGCCTACACAAATTATACGTACTCCTGAGTGGCGCAGTGGTCTAACTAACTAACCACTAGAGATCCTGGTTCGAATCCAGGATCTGTCGCAGCCGGCCGCGACCGGGAGACTCATGGGCGGCGCACAATTGGCCCAGCGTCGTCCAGGGTAGGGGAGGGAATGGCCGGCAGGGATGTAGCTCACTTGATAGAGCATGGCGTTTGCAACGCCAGGGTTGTGGGTTCGATTCCCACGGGGGGCCAGTATAAAAATATATATATATATGTGTTCACTAACTGTAAGTCGCTCTGGATAAGAGCGTCTGCTAAATGACTAAAATGTAATGTGTATAAATATATATATATATTTCCCTGCAGCAGTTTCGTATATCTCCTAGGATATAGGACAACACTTAAAAAAACATGTTTCTTATTGCTGAATTTTTTGACTGTCTTTTTTGCTATTTAATGAATGTTTTATTAAGCATTTACATTTAAATTTAAAATTTTAGTTCATTTAGCAGTACGCCTCTTATCCAGAGCGAAAAGTTAGTGACACACTATATCATATATTTTTTTCCATACTGCCCCCCCGATGGGGAATCGAAACCACACCCCCCTCAACCATGGCGTTGCTACACAAGCAAAATGCAGTTCCCTTTTCTTTGGTCCAGGCTTTGTTTTAAGATTGCGTTTACTATTGTTTGTAACAGTTCATGAACCGTGGTACCTCAGGTAGTTTGGAAATCGTTCGATCACAAGGCATGAACCAGCGCACTTATGGACGGTCGAAAATTTTTTATTCTGCCCAAGGCTCTTGGCCTCGCATTCTTTTCGCATCTCTTCCCTCCATTTCTGAAGTCAAGCAACAGAGGGGCACCGAGTTTGAAGTTAGGCCTTGAAATACATCCACAGGTACACCTCCAATTGACTCAAAGGATGTCAATTAGCCTATCAGAAGCTTCTAAAGCCATTACATCATTTTCTGGAATTTTCCAAGCTGTTTAAAGGCACAGTCAACTTAGTGTATGTAAACGTCTGAACCACTGGATTTGTGATACAGTGAATTATAAGTGAAATAATCTGTCTGTAAACAATTGTTGGAAAAATTACTTGTGTCATGCACAAAGTAGATGTCCTAACCGACTTGCCAAAACTATAGTTTGTTAACAAGAAATTTGTGGAGTGGTTGAAAAACTAGTTTTAAAGACTCCAACCTAAGTGTATGTAAACTTCTGACTTCAACTGTATATACAGGGAATACCAGTACCAGATCAATGTGCAGAGGTACGAGGAATTTCAGGTAGGTATGTACAGTACAGTGCCTTCAAAGTATTCACACAGCTTGACTTTTTCCACATTTTGTTGTGTTACAGCCTGCATTTAAAATTGATTAAATTGAGATTGGTTGTCACTGACCTACACACAATATCCCATAATTTCAAAGTGGAATTATGTTTTTCGAATTTCTTTACAAATTAATAAAAAATGAAAAGAATGAATTGGCTTGAGTCAATAAGTATTCAACCCGTTTGTTATGGCAAACCTAAATAAGTTCAGGAGTAAAAATGTGCTTAACAAGTCACATAATAAGTTGCATGGACTCACTCTGTGTGCAATAATCGTTTTTAACATCTCTGTACCCCACACATACAATTATCTGTAATGTCCTGCAGTCGAGCAGTGAATCTCAAACACAGATTCAACCACAAAGACCAGGGAGGTTTTCCAATGCCACGCAAAGGGCACATATTGGTAGATGGGTCAAAATAAAAAAGGCAGACATTGAATATCCCTTTGAGCATGGGGAAGTTATTAATTACACTTTGGATGGTGTATCAATACACCCAGCCACTACAAAGATACAGCTGTCCTTCCTAACTGAGTTGCCGGAGAGGAAGGAAACTGTTCAGGAATTTCACCATGAGGCCAATGGTGACTTTAAAACAGTTACAGAGTTTTAATGGCTGTGATAGGAAAAAACTGAGGATGGATCAACAACATTGTAGTTACTCCGCAAGACTAACCTAATTTACAGAATTGACAGAGTGAAAATAAGGAAGCCTGTACAGAATAAAACTATTCCAAAACATGCATCCTGTTTGCAAAAAGGCACTAAAGTAATATTGCACAAAAATTGTCAAAGCACTTAACTTTTTGTCCAGAAACAAAGTGTTATGTTTGGGGCAAATCAGGCAAAATCCTATAGGAAAACTGGTTCAGTCTGCTTTCCAACCAGACACTGGGAGATTAATTCAATTTTCAGCAGGACAATAACCTAAAACACAAGGCCAAATCTACACTGGAGTTGCTTACCAAGAAGACAGTGAATGTTCATGAGTGGCCAAGCTACAGTTTTGACTTAAATCTGCTTGAAAGTCTATGGCAAGACTTGAAAATGGTTGTGCTTAGGGTCGTTGTCCTGTTGGAAGGTAAACCTTCGCCCCAGTCTGAGGTCCTGAGCGCTCTGGAGCAGTTTTTTTATCAAGGATCTCTCTGTACTTTGCTCCGTTCATCTTTCCCTCAATCCTGACTAATCTCCCAGTCCCTGCCGGTGAAAAACATCCCCACAGCATGACGCTGCCACCACCATGCTTCACAGTAGGGATGGTGCCAGGTTTCCTCCAGACGTGACGCTTGCCATTCAGGCCATTAAGTTCAATCTTGGTTTCATCAGACCAGAGAATCTTGTTTCTCATGGTCTGACAGTCCTTTAGGTGCCTTTTGGCAAACTCCAAGCTGGCTGTCATGTGCCTTTTACTGAGGAGTGGCTGAATACTTATGTAAATAAGGAATTTCTGTTTTTTATTATTTAATACATTTGCAAAGATTTCTACAAACCTGTTGTCACTTTGTCATTATGGGGTATTGTGTGTAGATTGATGAGGAAAAACATTAATTTAATCCATTTTAGAATAAGGCTGTAATGTAACAAAATGTGGAAAAAGTCAAGGGGTCTGAATACTTTCCGAATGCACTGTATATATAGTCTAATGACTGTGCATAGGGTCAGTGCAGATATTTTGGGTACCATTAATTGACTATTTAGCAGTCTGGCTATTTAGCAGGCTTGGGGGTAGAAGCTGTCTCGGAGCCTGTTGGTCTGAGAGCAGAGGCTCCGGTACCATTTGCCGGACTGTAGCAGAGTGAACAGTCTATGGCTTGGGTGGCTGGAGTCTTTGTACATTTTTCAGGCCTCCCTCTGACACCGCCTGATATAGAGGTCCTCCAGTGATGTACTGGGCTGTCCGCACCACCCTCTGTAGCGCTTTGCGGTCAAGTGTGGTGCATTTGCCATATCAAGCCGTGATGCAGTTAGTCAAGATGCTCTCGATGGTGTTGCTGTATAACTTTTTGAGGATCCGAGGGCCCATGCCAAATATTTTCAGCCTTCTGAGGGGGAAGAGGCGCTGCCGTGCCCGCTTCACGACTGTGCGGGTGTGTGTGGACCAGGTTAGGTCCTTAGTGATGTGGATGCAAAGGAATTTGAAGCTCTCAACCCGGTCCACAACAGCCCCGCTCCACAACAGCCCCTCTTTCTCCTATAGTCCACAATCAGCTCCTTGGTCTTACTGATGTTGAGGGAGAGGTTGTTGTCCTGGCACAACACTGCTAAGTCTCAGACTGGGACAAGGAGAGATTGCAAATGTCTGTGAAGACACTTGCCATTTGGTCTGCGCATGCTTTGAGAACGCCCCCTGGTATTCCGTCTTGTGATTGCTAACCTGTTTAAACGTTTTGCTCACGTCGGCCATGGAGAGCGAGATCACACAGTCATCCGGAAGAACAGGGGCTTTCATTCAAGGCACAGTGTTATATTCCTCGAAGCAAGCATTAAAGACATTTAGCTCGTTTGGGAGTTCTGCATCGCATGGCTTGGTTTCCTTTTGTAATTCGTTATCGTTTGCAAGCCCTGTCACATACGATGAGCGTCGGCGCAAGTGTAATAGGACAGGAGAGATGGGTCTAAGATGTCCCTCCTCGGCACCCAGCACCGTTCCTCCGGGCCGTACCCCTCCCACTCCACGAGATACTGGAGACCCCCCATCCGACGTCTCGAATCCAAGATGGACCGAACTGTGTACGCCGGAGCCCCCTCGATGTCCAATGGGGGCGGAGGAGTCTCACTTATCTCACAGTCCTGGAGTGGACCAGCTACCACCGGCCTGAGAAGAGACCCATGGAACGAGGGGTTAATGTGATAATCAATAGGCAGTTGTAACCTGTAACACACCTCGTTCAACCTCCTCAGGACTACAAACCGCCGACCCAGCTTCCGGCAGGGCAGGCGGAGGGGCAGGTTTCGAGTCGAGAGCCAGACTCGATCTCCAGGTGCGTACACCGGACCCTCACTGCGGTGGAGATCGGCGCTCGCCTTTTGTCGAACGGATGGCCCGCTGCAGATGGACGTGTGCAGCGTTCCACGTCTCCTCCGAGCGCCGCACCCACTCATCCACCGCAGGAGCCTCGATCTGGCTCTGATGCCATGGTGCCAGAACCGGCTGATACCCTAACACACATTGGAAAGGGGTTAGGTTGGTGGATGAGTGCCGGAGAGAGTTCTGTGCCATCTCTGCCCAGGGGATATACCTCGCCCACTCCTCCGGCCGGCCCTGGCAATACGATCTCAGAAACCTACCCACATCCTGGTTCACTCTTTCTACCTGCCCATTGCTCTCTGGGTGGTACCCCGAGGTAAGGCTCACCGAGACCCCCAAGCGCTCCATGAACGCCCTCCAGACTCTGGAGGTGAACTGGGGACCTCGATCAGACACTATATCCTCGGGCACCCCGTAGTGCCGAAAGACGTGGGTGAACAGTGCCTCAGCGGTCTGTAGGGAAGTAGGGAGACCCGGCATTGGGAGGAGACGACAGGCCTTCGAGAACCGATCCACAATGACCAGTATAGTGGTATTCCCCTGAGAGGGGGGAAGGTCTGTAACGAAATCCACCGAGAGGTGAGACCAGGGTCGCTGTGGAATGGGCAGGGGTTGTAACTTTCCCCTGGGCAGGTGTCTAGGCGCCTTACACTGGGCGCACACTGAGCGGGAGGAGACATAAACCCTCACATCCCTGGCTAACGTTGGCCACCAGTACTTAGCGCTAAGGCAGTGCACTGTCCGGCCAATATCTGGATGTCCAGAGGAGGGGGACGTATGAGCCCAATAAATCAGACGATCCCGAACCTCGAGTGGAACGTACGTCCGACCTACAGGACACTTTGGGGGACTAGGGTCGGTACGCAACGCCCGCTCAATCTCCGCATTGACCTCCCACACTACCGGTGCCACCAGACAAGACTCCGGCAGGATGGGAGTGGGCTCAATGGACCTCTCCTCTGTGTCATACCGCCGGGACAGGGCGTCTGCCTTACCGTTCTGGGACCCAGGGATGTACGTTATTTTAAACACGAACCGGGTTAGAAACATGTTCCACCGAGCCTGACGAGGGGATCAATCTCCTAGCTGCCTGGATGTACTCCAGGTTACGGTGGTCAGTCAAAATGAGAAAAGGGTGTTGAGCCCCCTCAAGCCAATGCCTCCACACCTTTAGGGCCTGTACCACGGCTAACAGCTCCCTGTCCCCTACGTCATAATTTCGCTCCGCCGGGCTGAGCTTCTTGGAATAAAAAGCACAGGGGCGGAGTTTAGGTGGCGTGCCGGACCGTTGCGATAGTACGGCCCCAATACCGGCCTCTGACGCGTCCACCTCTACCTGGAATGGTAAAGCGGGGTCCGGATGCGCCAGCACCAGAGCCGAAGTGAACAGGTCCTTCAGTCTCCCAAAAGCCCTGTCCGCCTCAGCTGACCACTGCAAACGCACCGGGCCCCCCTTCACCAGGGACGTTATGGGAGCTGCCACCTGTCCAAAACCCCGGATAAACCTCCGGTAGTAATTTGCAAAACCCAAGAACTGCTGCACCTCTTTAACCGTGGTTGGGGTTTGCCAATTACGCACGGCTGACACACGGTCAACCTCCATCCTCACGCCTGACGCAGACAACCGATAACCCAAAAAGGAGACCGACTCCTGGAAAAACTGAAATTTCTCTGCCTTGACATACAAGTCGTGCTCCAACAGCCTCCCCAACACTCGTTGCACCAGGGTTACATGCTCGGCTCGGGTAGAAGAGTACACTAGAATGTCGTCGATGTACATGACCACACCTTGCCCCTGCATGTCCCGGAAGATCTCGTCCACAAAGGATTGGAAGACTGAAGGAGCATTCATCAACCCGTATGGCATGACGAGATACTCGTAATGACCCGAGGTGGTACTAAATGCTGTCTTCCATTCATCGCCCTCCCTAATGCGCACCAAGTTGTAGGCGCTCCTGAGATCTAGTTTTGTGAAGAAACGCGCTCCGTGTAATGATTCCGTCATAGTCACAATCAGAGGGAGTGGATAACTTTATTTCACAGTGATCTGATTGAGACTACGGTAATCAATACACGGGCGCAACCCTCCATCCTTCTTCTTCACAAAAAAGAAGCTTGAGGACGCAGGGGAGGTGGAGGGCCGTATGTATCCCTGTCTCAGAGACTCGGCTATGTAAGTCTCCATAGCCCCCTTCTCCTCTTGAGACAGAGGATACACATGGCTCCGCGGAAGCGCTGCTCCTGCCTGGAGGTCTATCGCACAATCCCCCTGTCTATGAGGAGGCAACCGCATCGCCCTCGTCTTGCTAAACACGAGTGCTACATCCTCATACTCAGGGGGAATGTGCATTGCGGGCACTTGGTTCGGACTCTCCACCGAGGTCGCCCCCACGGAAACACCTAGACATCGCCCTACACACTGGGCAGACCACTCCTTGAGAGCCCTCTGTTGCCACGAAATGGAGGGATTATGGGTAATCAACCAGGGAAGCCCCAGCACCACTGGATACGCAGGAGAGTCGATTAGATATAACTGAATAGTTTCCTCATGACCCCCCTGCGTACTCATCCTAAGTGGTGCTTTGACCTCTCTAATCAACCCCGATCCCAACGGGCGGCTATCTAGTGCATGGACAGGGAAGGGAGCATCAACAGGAAGGAGGGGAATCCCTAACTTTACACAAAAATTCCGATCAACAAAATTCACAGCTGCGCCTGAATCTACTAGCTCCTTATGCTGGGAATGAGGTGCAACCTGTGGAAATCTTACAGGTATACATAAGTAAACAACAGAGAGCTCTGGGTAAGTGGGGCACCTACTCACCTGGAAGGACTCCCCAGTGCGTGGCCTGTTGTCCCGTCCCCCTGGAGACCCTCCCCAGCACCTAGCCGCAGTGTGCCCTCCACGGCCACAGTTGGTGCAGGGGACGGCCCCCCTCGGGCTCCCTCTCCTCCTCTCTCTAGCGCCAGCACCCCCGAGCTCCATAGGGCTCGGCTCGGAGGTGCTGGAGGATGGAATGGACGGCCCCCACTCGGGACGTCCGCGGGTGGCCAGCAGGGTGTCGAGACGGATGGACATGTCCACCAACTGGTCGAACGATAGGTTGGGGTCCCTGCATGCCAGCTCTCTCCGAACGTCCTCCCATAGACTGCATCGATAGTGGTCGATGAGGGCCCGCTCATTCCACCCCGCATCCGCCGCTAGAGTCCGGAATTCCAGGGCGAACTCCTGTGCGCTCCTCTTCCCCTGTCGGAGGTGGAATAGACGCTCCCCGTAGGTGATGGTGGCGGCGTCTTTCAAACTTAAAAGGTTGAGAGACAGAGAGACAGGAGATGAGGGCGGAAACGCTCTCGTATCCCGAGGGCGCCGGGTGTATGGTGGCCAGGTAGAGTTCCACCTGCAGTAGGAACCCCTGACACCCGGCTGTGGCGCCATCATATGCCCTCGGGAGCGAGAGCAGAATCCCACTGGATTCTGGAGCTTGGATGGGAGGACTGACCGATGGTGGTGGTAAGGTCGGAGGAGGTGTGGGCACTCCTCTAGTCTCCCATCGGTGCAGAGTGTTGATCACGTCCTGCAGGGCAGACCCGAGTTGAAGGATCCGGTCGTCTTGCCCGCTGACGCGCTCCTCCAGCGACTCGGGTGCTGCTGCTGCTCCTGCTGACTCCATGATGGTGTGTAATTCTGTCAGTGGCTGATGTGGATGTGGTGTAGGAGTCAGGCGCAGGACACAGAAGCTACTTCCAACAGACTTTACTGGAGGACACGAAATACAAAGAAAAGGGCCTCAACAAAACAAGGAGGCGAGCGATTACGCAACAGTGCGCAAAAACACTCCAATGCACAAGCAATACGCAAAAGTGCGTCTGGACTCTAAAACACAACAGAGCAAAAATACCAGCACCTACGGACAGGCGGAACAATTCCACACAACTCACTACAAACAAAACGAGACACATATAGGGAACATAATGAACACTAACAGGAAACAGGTGAACCAGGAAGACAAAACCAAACAAACATCGATAACATACAACGGTGGCAGCTAGTACTCCGGGGACGACGACCGCCGAAGCCTGTCCGAGCAAGGAGGAGGAGCAGCCTCGGCCGAAACCGTGACACTGTGGGTAGAATAAAAGTGGTTTAGAGTTTTAGCACCCCTAGTGTCGCAGGAGACGTGTTGATAGAGGTGAGGTAGAACGGTTTTAAGTCTAGCCGCACTATAGTCTCCACACACCAGAAACGCTGCCTCTGGGTGAGCGTTTTCTTGTTTGTTTATGGACTATACAGTTTGAGATTTCCTTCACACTTGAAACAGCACACCAGTTGTTTTTTATGAAAAAACACACTCCACCTCCTTTCGACTTCTCCAAAGCCGCTGTACGATCCTGCCTCTGCATGGAGAATCCACAGAGTATTACGTGCATGGTTTCATCATCCAGCCACGTTTCAGTAAGACATACATATAACATGCAGCTTTGCAAGTCTCTCTGATAGGAGATGTTACGTTCTCACAAGACAAACTCAATATATCACTCACACTAAGGTGACTAACAGAGACAATCACTTTGACAACCAAAATAAAACAGAAAGGGGTTCAAAAAGGGTTCTGAAAGGCACCCATGTGGATGGTCACTGAAAGTTGGCAAAGCCACTATTAAAGGCTTCTAAAAGACACCCACCATGGATGCCCACTAGGTTTGCCTCCGAAAAGACAAACTAAAAGAAAAACCCACAACAACTTAGGATAGGGCGTAAAAAGAATATGGAGCAAAAAAAAAGGAAAACACCAAAAATCAGGCGTCTTTCAAACTTAAAAGGTTGAGCTTGAAATCGCACCTCAGCTGACGTGAAGTGTAGCTCTCCCAGCATCTCTCAAGCTCAACTGGAGCACTGGGCCAGCCACTCTTAAATATCACCTGGGCTAGCACAGTTGAAACACCTTCCGACTAACAAGATGGACAAGCCAGCACAGGTGTAACACATACTTACTAACAAGGTGACACCAATCGGTGTGCCCTACGTGCTAAAGTGCTACTTCAAAATATATACAAAAAATACACAAAAAAATTACAGAGACTCTGGAACGAAGATCATCCATTTTATTCTCGAGTGACTGGACATTTGCCAATAGAACGGAGGGGAGCACCGTATTTTAAGTCCAAATCGAGGTTAGTAAATGTGAATCTGATGTCCAGAAGTGCTTGGCGGTCATATGTGATAATAATATGAACTTTCTGTACCAAAAAAGTAAAGATAAACATGATAAAAGTCACTATATAGCAAAGTTGGGTTGAAACTCATAAGATGTTGCCCTTCTCTGTTGGCGCCATCTTGTCTCTCTGATTGATTTAGGACCGTTACCTTGCAGCGGGCCATGGGAAGCCCCGAGGCCTGTTGAAACATTGTTGGCTTTGACCAGGGCCCGTCTGAAGGAAATGTTACAGCTTGCCTACAAATAGCCAGATTAGTATTTTTTTTACGAGTAATTACCACAGAGATGGGAACCCATTGATATTGTTGACGTTTTTATAGAAATGGGCCCCAAATTACACTACCTCAGCTTGTGAATATAATTCTTCATTCATTGGTGATTTAGACCATCAACACCTTTTCCTGGAGACCTACGAGTGTGTACGCTTTTGTTCCAGCCCTGCACTAACACAACTGATTCAGCTAATCAAGGTCCTGGCAAACAATTAATTAGTAAAATCAGGTGTGTTAGAGTGTTAGAGCTGGGCTGGAACAAAAATGTGCACCCCCTGTAGCTCTCGAGTGTTGGCCACCCCCAAAGCTGTCATTTCAGTTCAACTACAAATACTTTTAACCCCATTGCTGTTCCTATTCACCACTGAGAGATAGAACATGTGCTCCGACACACGCACTAATCTTAGATTCACTCTTGGTGTCTGCACAGCAACTGAAGCGCATATTCAATTTAGTTATTCATTTAGATTTTAATCATGCTACTTTGATGTCACGGAAAGCTACAAACTATCTCATTCTTCTCATGCTGTTGTTTTTTTTGCAAGGCCTTGTTTTCCTCCTTTAAATTAAAGGCAGCTGACAAACTCAAGGATGCTCCAAACAGTAGAGCAAAATAAAACACTGTACATAAACTGTGTGACGTATGCCTTAATGAGAATGGGGGATCGAGTTTGGGAAACCCTGCCCTAGCACAGTGGTTCCCAACTCCGGTCCTCGAGTACCTCCAACAGTACACATTTCTATTGCAGCCCCAGACAAGCACAACTGATTCAACTAGTCAATTAATCATCAGGCCCTCAACGAGTGAGAAGCATTTCTCAAGGTCCACTTCAATGAGCCACATACTGTAAGTAACCCCTGCCGTCCGCAGGCTTATCGTCCCGAATCAGATGTCTCGCTAATGGATCAGCAAAAAAGGCAATTCGCTCCGGCATTCATCTCAATGTTATTATTGGGCCTCTGTTCCGAGATGGCAATTGACGGGAAAACAGAGTGGAGCGGAGAGGGGTCAGCGTCGGCGATCATCAATTTCCAAGATCGGAGTGGGGATAGGGTTCATGTTTGTTTTTGTTTTGAAACTGGAACTCTTTTTTCTGAGTTCATCCAAATGAAAATGCAGGAGCTACGTCTCATCTTTGAGATACAGATCACCTTGGGTTATGCGTTAGCATAAATCAAATGTTTGAAACGATCTGGTGGTATCTTGCTCTTTGTGAGAACGTATAGACAAACACTTGCTCGTGCTGTCAGAGAGAGCAGACCTACTATGTAATGTTCATACCAATTACTAGTCATTGTTAGGGCCAGGAGTTTATCCTGCTCTCATTAACAACTCTGGGCCCGTGTCATTGTAGATAATCTGATTTTAAAAAACAATAGTGGTGAAAAATGTGTCCACATTAGACTTTGAGAGTTTCTAAACAGGTACTCTTTCTTCAAATTATAATCAATCAACTACATTTGTGTACTGTACATCACCTTTAATTGTTGATCTATCATGTCTCTCTCTGTATGTTTCTCCCCAGCAATCCACTCCTGTGCTGTCAGCAATGGAGGCTGTGAGCAGGACTGTGTGCTGCTGTCCCCGGCTCACTACCAGTGTCGCTGCAGACCCAACTATCAGCTTGCAGAGGACAGCAAACACTGCAAGTGTAAGTGCCACTAGTCGGCCATTTAAAAAAACCTGTGTGTGCTTGTGTGCTAACTTCTCAGTCCATCCTTTTTATGCCATTTTGGCAGACACTTTTATCCAAAGCGACAGTGAGTAGCAGCCTATATGTTCCCAGTGGGAATCGAAACCCACAATGTTGTGGGCACTAATATTGTGAATATGTGTATATACAGTATATATGATATTATAAATACCTCACATGCGACTCATAATAAGACTAAGCAATTAGCCCATTTAATGAATTATCTGACTCTATAAAGATTATTTAGCAATATGCACAAATACTATGGTTGAGTTACATTAATAGGCAATGAAGAAATGTCTGAGAAGGGAATTCTAAATACAAGTATTATTGAATTACTTTGTAAAATGAATGATAACATTATACAAGACATAATCTTAAATTACAAAGCAATAACAAGCATTACAAGGCATTATTCTAAGCATGGTCAGAGAGAGAGAAACCATAGCCTGAAAGGCCATGCCCCAAAAGTCCATGGGGTGGAGAGAGAAAGAGAGATTGTGTCTCACTACAGCAGTTCAGGAACAAAAAAGAGAAAGAACAAGGAATCTAAGACCCTTTTATAAGCATCTGAGTTGTTTGGATTCAAAATCTGAGTTGTTGACCAATAGTACTACTGTAAAGTTAACCTCCAATCAGATATCAGACCTACATGATGTCACCTCTGCTTCTCAGAGGTGAGACAATGGGGGTTGGAGAGATAATACAGAGAATGCTGTATTCCTAAGACAACACAAAGGAAATTATTGCATACAGTTGATAAGAAGAGTCACTTCGGGGGCTGCCCTACAACAATGCTGGCAATGTTAGCTGTTGCTAACTGATGCTAACTGAGCCACACAGGTCCTTGGCCCTAAATTTCCATGCGGCACAAACCTATTTCTCTTTGCTTGTCATGACAGGGAATGGATGATGTTGAATAACAAAATGCTTACTGTGCTATGTTGGCTGCATTCGCTGTATTGGCAATGCTTCGACAGTTCATTTTCTGCCTGTCTGTACTCTGAAAATGTTCAGGTATGGAGGCATCGCAAAAACGCCACCCGTCGGCCGTGGTGGCCATTTTCCATTCCGCAAAATCACCAAACAATGTATTCTGCGTCATATCTTCTGAACCAAACATGATATCACAGAAAATGTGGTCTACCCCTATATTTTGATGGTCAAGGATTGCAATGATGCCATGCACAACATCGAAAACGGCCCCTGGGGACCATGGCAGCCATTTTGCTATTCCGCTATAACTGGACAATGTATTTCCCATCATATCTGTTGAACCATACATGATAACACAGAAAAGGTGATGTCTACATCTTTTGATGGTCAAGGATTACAATTGTGCCATGTACAACATCATAAATAGTTCAGATTATTATAAAATGGTGGACTGCCACTGGGCGAAAAGGATCCATATCAGGGGATATCTTTACATGACACGTTTTTAATATTCTAAAGAATACAGACCATTTCCAATGCATATTTTGAGTTTTGTTGATATGCACCATATCCTGACAAATTCTGAATCCAGATTAGTCTTTTAGACACACACTCAGTGGCCAGTTTATTAGGTACACCACCCCGTTCATGAAGATCACAGACAAAAACTCTACCAACACGTTGGGTCTGGACTGCGAGGGACCGCCGCTGACAACCCAAGCTGCACCCATTGCATCATCCATAATAACAAACAGGGCAGGCAGGGGTATTGACGGTGTGCAACTTTTATTTTCTAGTAAATAAATAAGACATTTTTCGCAAAGGTTGGCCTACGCTTGCATCTTTCCAGAAAACAGTTCTGGATTTGCTATGCTGCATTTTTCAAACATAAATAGCAGAGATGTGCTTTCGAAATAGCAACTTGATTAAATATGACGATGTTTGCCTTTTGGTGCCTTGTATAGCCTACTACCTTCATGTGAAGAACCACAGTTAAAATAATTTGGGCACTGGAAATTTCATGAGTCGGCTTTAGCCCATTGTCGATTAGACATACGAGGATGAAACATTAACATATCTATGATTCACATATAATGTAAGGATATCTATTGAAATGATGCCATTTTTGAGAAATATGGATACATAAACGATCATGTAATGACTACAGATATGATACATTTCTGAAAATATGTGGATTCGTTCATGCCATAGTATAAAGGCTAAGATATGTCAGCATGTTGACACATACCCTTTCCGGAGTTAGAATTTTCTATAAATATGTAAGCGGGTGCACGCGCATCAGGTGAGTGTATTGAACGTACCTTACCATATATCTCCCTGGACTCATATGGTAGCAGGCAGATTTCGGAGATCCGGATTGGATGCATGTAGAAACTACGATTACGGAGAATATCTTAGCTCTGTATATGATCATTAAGGACATGTGGATCTGGAGCATGTCTACTCCTTATATGTATTAAAATGTCCGAAATACAGTGCCTTCAGAAATAATTCACACCCCTTGGCTTTTTCCATGTTTTGTTGTGTTACAGCCTGAATTGAATACCCCATAATTTCAAAGCGGAATCATGTTTTTCAATTTTTTTAATAAATTCATATAAAAAGCAAAGCTGAAATGTCTTGAGTCAATAAGTATTCAACCCCTTTGTTATGGCAAGCCTAAATAAGTTGAGGACTAAAAATGTGCTTAACAAGTCACATAATAAGTTGCATGGACTCACTCTTTGTGCAGTAATAGTTTTAACATGATTTATTTAATGACTACCTCATCTTTGTACTCCACACATACAATTATCTGTAAGGTCCCTCAGTCAAGCAGTGAATTTCAAACACAGATTCAACAACAAAGACCAATGCGTTTTTCCAATGCCTCACTAAGAAGGACAGCTATTGGTAGATTGGTAAACATTTTAAAAGGAGATATCGAATATCCCTTTGAGCGTGGTGAAGTTATTAATTACACTTTGGATGGTGTAACAATACACCTAGTCACTACAAAGATACAGGTGTCCTTCCTAACTTAGTTGCTGGAGAGGAATGAAACCGCTCAGGGATTTCACCATGAGGCCAATGGTGACTTTAAAACAGTTACAGAGTTTAATGGCCTTGATAGGAGAAAACTGAGGATGGATCAACAACATTGTAGTTACTCCACAATACTAACCTAATTGACAGAGTGAAAAGAAGGAAGCCTGTAAATTATTTTTAAAATCCCAAACATGCATCCTGTTTGCAACAAGGTTCTGAATTGATACTGCTAAAAATGTTGCAAAGAAATGCACTTTTTGTCCTCAATACAAAATGTTATGTTTGTGGCAAATCCAATACACATTTCTGAGTACCACTAAAAAAAATGTCAAGCTGCATCATGTTATGGGTATGATTGTAATCGTTAAGGACTGGGGAGTTTTTCAGGATAAAAAATAAACTAATGGAGCTAGGCACAGGCAAAATCCTAAAGGAAAACCTGGTTCAGTCTGCTTTCCACCAGACACTGAAAGATGAATTCACCTTTCAGAAGGAAAATAACCTAAAACACAAGGCCAAATCTACACTGGAGTTGCTTACGAAGAAGAGAGTGAATGTTCCTGAGTGGCGAGTTATAGTTTTGAATTAAATCTACTTGAAATCTCTGGCAAGAGCTGAAAATGGTTGTCTAGCAATGATCAACAACCAATCTGACAATGCTTTAAGAAGTTTGAAAAGATTAATGGGCAAATGTTGCACAATCCAGGTGTGGAAAGCTCTTAGAGACTTACCCAGAAAGACTCACAGCTGTAATCGCTGCAAAAGGTGATTATCACATGTATTGACTCAGGGGTGTGAATACTTTTGTAAATTAGATATTTCTGTATTTAATTTTCAAAAAATGTACAACAATTTTTTGAAACATTTTGCTCACCTTGTCATTAAGGGGTATTGTATGTAGATGGGTGAGACAAAAAAATATTTTTAATCAATTTTGAATTCAGACTGTAAGACAACAAATTGCGGAATAAGTCAAGGGCTATGAATACTTTCTGAAGGCACTGTATGTACCTCAAGTGCTTGTTGGCCCCAGATGCCATCCACCACTCCTCAAATTATATTTCAGAAGAGTACATTTCCATTTTGGAGCAGTTCACAATTCTCCTTAATGATAACAATAACAGTCAAATTAACATCAATCAAGCTCATTTTGAGATGTCCATGAAGAAAGGAATAGAAAAGGAGCAAATCCTCCCACAAATGATGCTTTGGTGCAGCACATCAAAATCAATGAATACAAATGTTATTTATATAGCCCTTTTCACAACAAGGATTGTCCAGAAACTGCTTCTCCAATAGAAATACCGATTACATCTGTAGGCGATGTCATAGCGACTTTTGCTAGCTAAGCTAATGCGCAGAAACACGTCATCGGGTCTAACGGTCGTGTCCCGTCGGACTGCGCACATGCAAAGACACTTCTTCAATATAAGTTGTTTTTGATAGAAATGAGAACATGTTGTGTGCAACAGGCAGGGCAAGCTTCATATTTATTTATTGTTAAAACATTTATACCCTGTCTTTCTGTGGGTAATGGGGTTGACGTGTTATGCTCAACTTGCTCAGTTTTCCACCACACAACACCAGAAAATGGCCAAAAAGAGTAGAACCAGCTCATCTGCTATAACACTATGATTATTAGATGTTCAATGTTTCTTTTGAAAAATGAACAGGATTGACCTTAAAATGATGGCCAGACATTTCATGTGATCAGATGATAATAATAATAATAATAAAGATCTTCAGAAATGACTTTATCAAAGCAACAAAATAACTAGAGCTTTACAATAATGGTGAGAACATGGAGACATTTTGGGGTTAAGTGGGATTTATTGAATTCTCAATGTGATCTATATTAAAGGGCCCTTCATTTAATATTACAGGCTTATAAATGTAATATTGGTGTACAACTTCTACTTATATCAAATATCAAAAGGACACAAAAGGTACTCGTTTGGTGGAACGACATTTGAAGTAGTCGAAAAATGTCCATGATTGTAACAATGTTGATAAATATGCTATAGAATCTCAGAATCTTCCAGAGTGACACCATGAATACTGCCAAAGCCTTCTTGAAGTCTATGAAATTAAAAGTTAAAGTGTGGGGGACCAGACATCCATCCTTGTCCCTGCAGAATGCTGCTTGCTCCCCTATAGCTCAGTTGGTAGAGCATGGCGCTTGCAATGCCAGGGTTGTGGGTTCGTTTCCCACGGGGGGCCAGTATGAAAATGTATGCATTCACTAACTGTAAGTCTCTCTGGATAAGAGTGTCTGCTAAATGACTAAAATGTAAAATGACTCCATGCATACATTTTCAGCAAAATAAAAAATGATTGATTCCACATTTCCCCCAAACTAAGCTTAACTTTAAAGTATAATGTTTCTCCAAAAGATGTTTAATATAATTTTCAAATCAACAACAGAAATAATATTCTATGGTGTACATTGACAGAAACTGTGATTTCATTGGATTTCTTCCCATGGTTTACCATGGCAGTCCACCATTTATATAATAAACTGAACTGTTTATGATGTTGTACAGGGTATCATTTTAATCAATGACCATCAAAACATAGGTGTAAACATCACCTTCTTCAGTGTTTTCATGTTTGGTTCAGGAGATATGATGCAAAATACCTTATTTGGTTATGGCAGAATGGAAAATAGCAGGCGTTTTTTCAATGCCTCCATATATAAACATGTTCAGGGCCCCAAACTGTACAAGTTTACCAAGTTTCATGCTTTTATGAAAAAGTTAACTGAATTTTCACAAATCCCCTGCACTATGAGCTTAGCTGAACTACACAGCTGTGCTGGAGTGCTGGAGTGGCTGGCTTCAGATATCGTGGCTGGCAGTCCTCAGTCCTTACCCAAAGGCCATTGGCAGCCTGGATCCTTACTTCTGAATTATACTTCAGCTGGTTCTTATTGTGGTCGACACGTAGATCTCAGATGCATAATGTCGGATTTTATATATCAAGAAATATGTAATATTGTTGGAGTTTTACATTTACACATCAAAAGACAAAATAGCAATCAAAGAAATGTCAATGATATTTACAATCAAATTGGATTGAAGTGATATTTAAACGGTTTTGATACCAGACATGCATTAGGCCAATTTTAGCACTAGAATAGAGGGGAAAATACAATTATAGTAATTTATGAGGTTATAAAGCAGAGCCTGCAGCTGTTGGGAAGTGTGATAACTGTAATAACAAAAAAATGTTAAATTACTGTGCACTTTGTTGGGCTTTGAAATTCCTCTAGTCTTGTATCCGACTGCGAGGTCTGAGACAGAGACGAGTCGGAGCAGGCAGTCATCGGCTTGGCGACCTCTGACCATTGGTCTGTCTGTCCAGCAGACTGACTGGCCAATACAAATGAACTGAGGCTTACCAGAGGCCCACTGTTGTCTTGGTTACCAAAGCACCATCCAAAAGCGGAACGCATGAAATAGTTATATCTAGGGTGGATTTCAAACAAAACGGCATTGTGGAAAAGTTACATTGTTACTGTTGTATCAATTCTATCTTTGGGCAGATGTGGAAATCTTGTACCTTTACTGACTTTCTCTCCCTTTACAATGTATTCTCAGTTTCCTGCTTAGCTAGATGTGCACTGTCTTCCATACATCAACAACAACTAGCTACCAAGAAAAAAACGAAAAAGCACTTGATTCCTAGTATGTGTAGCTCCTTGGAAATTCACCTCTTGGGGGTCCAGACATGGAAATAATTATGGCCATATCTGCAGGGAGAAAGTAACCACACTCCCATTTAACCCCATTACCCTCTTACTCCCTCAAATCCACAGGGGAGAGTGCTGGCAAGAGCATGGAGAGTGTATGTGTTTCTGTCAGTCTCTCTCTGTGTGTGTGTGTGTGTGTGTGTGTGTGTGTGTGTGTGTATGCACAGTATGTACTCATTCTGTGTTACTATGTTCCAGTGAGAAACCCCTGTGCAGACAGAAATGGAGGCTGTATGCACACCTGTAGAAATGAAGGAGGAAGATCTCAGTGTGACTGTCGTCCTGGATATACACTGGCACAGAATGGCAAAAACTGTGAAGGTAAACTTCAGAATTGACTATGGTTCTAGGGATTATTCTATAGGTGGTGATGGTGATTACACTGATTAAGGTGTGTGTGTGTGTCCCAGACGTCGACGAGTGTGAGACAGGCCAAACTGCCTGTGCCCACGGTTGCCATAACACCCAGGGTTCCTTTACCTGTGTCTGTAACCCGGCATACGAGTTGGGTGCCAACGGCAGGGAATGCTATCGTAAGTCAACTTTCATTCACTCTCATTCAACTCCCATTCACTCTCAGTCAACTCCCATTTACTCATTGAGACATTAGCAATTATCACTGATGTAAACATAGCATTACTCATTTACACTTGTATTATTGCATTTTTACTTTAGGCATATTCTCCTTTAGGCATGTTGGAGTTTAGAGCAAAATACAACAAAGGCTATTACAAATGTTTTGGTCAGGCTGAAACATTAGTGCCACAAGAAAAAGGGATTCTATGCAAGAAAATATTGTGTATGTTTGTTTTGGTATGGTTTGGAATGACAGGTGTCCATATTTGTCTCTCTTAGGTATCGAGATAGAGATTGTGAACGGTTGTGAGACTGCCAATGGAGGCTGTTCCCAAAAGTGCCAACACTCCACCCTCGGACCTGTCTGCAGCTGTAGCCATGGTTACCATCTGGACGATGACCTCAGGACATGTGTGGGTGAGCAAAGAGCAGTTTGGAGAATGACTCCTATAATCAGTTTTGATCGATATGGAGTGATTTTAGTGCCATTCATTTTGAATTTGGCATGAATTCAAAATTATTGAATGAAATGGACAAATTATTGGCACTAAAGTCTCTTCATAAACAGACTTGTCAACAATGGCTGTCTGTGTTTCAGACTTGGACGAGTGCGAGGCGGGAAGCTCGTGCTGCGAGCAGGACTGTACGAACTATGCCGGGGGTTACGAATGCTACTGCGGGGCTGGCTACCGTCTCAACTCGGATGGGTGTGGCTGTGATGGTATGGTCCATTTAGCAGCATAACCTCTTTGATCAAATGGTATAATTTTTTTTCTCGTAAATGATCCATCTACACAATGTGTCGACTTCCTGTTTACAGACATAAACAACAGAATAAAAGTCAGTTTGCTCTCCCCGCTGTAGGCATGCCTCAAGGGAGGGGGTAAATTGGAAGAAAATAATTGTAGTCTTGGCAGATTCAATTCTGTTGTTTACGAAGACACCCTTTGTGTACTATGATGTAATCTCGCTGAACCTAAAGGGCTTTTTAATGTGGTTTTCCTTATTAGCGTGCTTGCTGCAGCTTGAACTCTACAGTCGCAGCAAGCACATAGATTTTCTTCAGGAAATGTACCTTTTCTAGTTTTGGTTGTTGATGTTGCAGATGTGGATGAGTGTCTGGTAGACAACGGAGGCTGTGACCATACCTGCCAGAACACAGCCGGCTCCTTCCAGTGCTACTGTCGCCTAGGACACCGGCTAGACGAGGACCGTCTCTCCTGTATTCGTAAGTGGATCGGAAATTAATCCTGTCTGGGCGGTAGTCATGTAGAAATAATACTTAGGGCCAGGAGTTTATCCTGACTTGACCATAACCTGACTGAGAAAAACTCTGGGCCTTAGTGGTAGGCTATACCAGGCAGTAGACGTTATAGGCTGTAACTAGGGCCCAGAGTTTATGTTAAGAGGCATGCTAAAGTGGATATTAGAATGGAAACTAAGTGTGCAGAGACAGAGACAATGACTGTTCTACTTTCTCCCTCCAGCCCTGGAGCGGACAGTAGAGTTCTTGGAGTGGAGCGGTCGCATCGTGGTGGAGCGCCCTCCACCCCAGATCACCCTGCTGAGTGACAACTTCCAGCCGCTGGAGCGCTATGACGACTATGAGGAGGACAGCCTGGGAGAGCTCCGGGCCCAGAGCACCCTCACCCAGACCTTTGGTATACATACACCTGTCGTAACACCTACATAAGGCATACATAAGGCTGTTTTAATACCCACATAAGGCAGTCGTAACACCTATGTAAGCAGCTAATAAGCACATCATAAACAGTTATTTTTTTTAGATAGCAAACAATGTCAAAACTGGCTTTACTCCAAGCTCTCAATATATATATATTGTACCTTTTCTTCCTCTTCCTGCTCCTCCTCCTCCCCAGTGTGTCTAAACGACACGTTTGGCCATGACTGCAGCCTGACGTGTGACGACTGTTCCAACGGTGGTGTGTGTGACCTGGAGGAGGGACGTTGTGACTGTCCTGAAGGGTGGACAGGCCTCGTCTGCAACCAGAGTGAGTCTCTTCTGCGTCTGATGCCATGCAGAGAGAACAAAATATACACTATATGTACAAAAGTATGTGGACAGCCCTTCAAATTAGTGAATTTGGCGATTTCAGCCACACCCATTGCTGACAGGTGTATAAAATCAAGCACACAGCCATGAAATCTCCATAGACAAACAAACATTGGCAGTAGAATGGCCTTACTGAAGAGCTCCGTGACTTTCAACGTGGCACTGTCATAGGATGCCACCTTTCCAACAGGTCAGTGCCCTGCTAGAGCATTCCCGGTCAACTGTAAGTGCTGTTATTGTGAAGTGGAAACATCTAGGAGCAACAACGGCTCAGCTGCGAAGTGGTAGGCCACACAAGCTCACAGGACGGGACCGCCGAGTGCGGAAGTGCGTAGCGCATAAAAATCGTCTGTCCTCGGTTGTAACACTCACTACCGAGTTCCAAACTGCCTCTGGAAGCAACGTCAGCAGAAGAACTGCTCGTCGGGAGCTTCATGAAATTGGCCGAGCAGCCGCACACAAGCCTAAGATCCCCATGCACAATGCCAAGCGTTGACTGGAGTGGTGTAAAGCTCGCCGCCATTGGATTCTGGAGCAGTGGAAATGCGTTCTCTGGAGTGATGAATCATGCTTCACCATATGGCAGTTCGACGGACGAATCGGTTTTGGTGGATGCCAGGAGAACGCTACCTGCCCGAATGCATAGTGCCAACTGTAAAGTTTGGTGGAGGAGGAATAATGCTCTGGGGCTGTTTTTCATGGTTCGGACTAGGCCCCTTAGATCCAGTGAAGGGAAATCTTAACGCTACAGTATACAATGACGTTCAAGACGATTCTGTGCTTCCAACTTTGTGGCAACAGTTTGGGGAAGGCCCTTTCCTGTTTCAGCATGACAATGCCCCCTTTGCACAAAGCGAGGTCCATACAGAAATGGTTTGTCGAATTCGGTGTGGAAGAAGTTGACTGGCCTGCACAGAGCCCTGACCTCAACCCCATCGAACACCTTTGGGATGCAAGCCAGGCCTAATCACCCAACATCAGTCACCGACCTCACTAATGCTCTTGTGACTGAATGGAAAGTCCCCCGCAGCAATGTTCCAACATTTAATGGAAAGCCTTCCCAGAAGAGTGGAGGCTGTTATAGCCACAAAGGGGGGACCAACTCCATATTAATGCCCATGATTTTGGAATGAGATGGTCGACAAGCAGGTGTCCACATACTTTTGGTCATGTAGTCTATCAAAACATCAAAAGGGTTTTAATCCTCAAAGTCACAGGTGTCATTGAGAACCTGCTGTGTAATAGTCAACAAATCCATTTGGGGTTAACCCATTCCTGGGTGAAGCTACATATGTATGATCTTAATTCAACCAGTATTGCCATAGCAAAATAATCCTGCAGCAACAGGATTTGAATGTTTAGTCCATAATGTTGCTTGATCAGTGGTGAGGCTATTTGCTGGACAAAAGTAGGCTACATGAAAAGTACAATACTGTTAGTATAACCGCGTGTTAGTGTGGGCTTTCAGTGAATTTATGTAAATCATGAAACTCTGCTTCATTTCCTGCAACCCATATTAAGATCCCACATCTGTATAAAAGTTTACTACCTTGTGTTTGAAGGGAATTTCACATTATGTCAGACATATTTATCCTACAGAAATTGCCTATTTTGATGACGTATCAAGCTTTGTTGAGAGATTTAACACCGTACATCTGTCTATGCTTCTCTCACCCTCTCTCTCTCCTTCACTCTGCCTAGCTTGTCTAGAGGGCACCTTTGGCAGGAACTGCCTCTTCAGCTGTAAGTGTAAGAATGGTGCCACTTGTGACCATGTGAGCGGGCACTGCCGCTGCCCACCTGGAGTCAGTGGGGACCTGTGCCAGGATGGTGAGTTGGCACACATTCATGTTATCATGCAGACCTGGATCAAAATAGCATTGTTTTCTCTTAAAATGGTACAAGTGATTTAGATTACCTGGCATAATCGAACCAATTGAATTATCCCAAAAGTGCAAATAACAATATTGGTGCACATTATAATGTGCTATAATGTACTCTCTACTCTTGCCTATGTGTCTCTGTGCTCTGTAGGCTGTCCTAAAGGCCTGTATGGGAAACTGTGCAATAAGAAGTGTAACTGTGCCAATAACGGGCGCTGCCATCGGACCTACGGAGCCTGCCTATGTGACCCCGGGCTCTATGGGCGCTTCTGTCACCTACGTGAGTGGCGTGACATCTCACTGACTTTCTACTTTCTGTTTCCTTTCTGTCATTCTTTCACTCCCTGTAGCCATTTATTTCAATTGCCAGACCCAGTGATTACCTCAAGGAAAGAGTCATTCCTAGTCCATCAGGATCATACTGTGATCGGGGGCTGTCAAGCGTCTCAGAGGATTGCTGATCGAGGATCAGGTCCCCTCTGTCCTTGTAATGTTATTCAATGTGATCTAAAAGGCAAAACTGATCAAATATCAGAACTCCAACTCAGAGATGCTTTATAAATACGGGCCCTGGACCTCTTCCCCTGTACACAGTCAGGTAGTATTCCTGTGTGCCCTATCAGGCCTTCAGTCCCGTTTAACCCTTGGTGTGCCGTCTCTACCCAGCATGTCCTAAGTGGGCGTACGGCCCTGGCTGCTCAGAGGAGTGCCAGTGTCTCCAACAGAACACCCTAGAGTGCCACCGCCGCCATGGATCCTGTGTCTGCAAACCAGGCTACCAGGGCAAAAACTGCCAGGAGGGTCAGTGGTTCAGGAGATGTTCTTCAAGCACTCACACACACACACACACACACACACACACACACACACACACACACACACACAAGCATGTACACACATGCATGTACACACACACATAAAAACAAACACACACACACACACACATCAAGGAAGGGTTCAATCTGACTTAATCTGGGTCCGGGAAACTGGCCCTAAATGTGTAACCAGTACTTTTAACCTACTTCTCTAGAGTGTGACAGAGGATACTATGGCCTTGCCTGCAAGAGGACATGTGAGTGTCCATCAGGGGTACCTTGTGATCATGTGACAGGAGAGTGTCTGCGCCAGTGCCCGCCTGGTTTCCATGGGGACAACTGTGACCAAGGTGGGTACAGTGCATGGCATGGCATGCCAACCCAGACCGATGCAGAATAGCACTTCATTGTCCATTTATTGGGAACAGAAATGTGTATTTACACTGAACAAAAATATAAATGCAACATGTAAAGTGTTGGTCCCAGAAATGTTCCATATGCACAAAAAGCGTATTTCTCAAAAATGTTGTGAACAAATTTGTTTACATCCCTGTTAGTGAGCATTTCTCCTTTGCCAAGATAATCCATCCACCTGACAGGTGTGGCATATCAAGAAGCTGATTTAAACAGCATGATCATTACACAGGAGCACCTTGTGCTGGGGACAATAAAAGGCCACTCTAAAATGTAACACAACACAATCCCACAGATGTCTCAAGTTCTGAGGGAGCGTGCAATTGGTATGCTGACTGCAGGAATGTCCACCAGAGCTGTTGCCAGATAATTTAATGTTCATTTCTCTACCATAAGCCGCCTCCAATGTCGTTTTAAAGAATTTGGCAGTACGTCCAACAGGCCTCACAAATGCAGACCACGTGTAACCACGCCAGCCCATGTCCTCCACATCAGTCTTCTTCACCTGCGGGATCATCTGAGACCAGCCACCCGGAGAGCTGATGAAACTGTGGGTTTGCACAACTGAAGAATTTCTGCACAAACTATCAGAAACCGTCTCAGGGAAGCTCATCTGCGTGCTTGTCATCCTCACCAGGGTCTTGACCTGACTGCAGTTCGGCGTCGTAACCGACTTCAGTGGGCAAATGCTCACCTTCGATGGCCACTGGCACGCTGGAGAATTGTGCTCTTCACGGATGAATCGCTGTTTCAACTGTACCGAGCAGATGGCAGACAGTGTGTATGGCGTCTTATGGGCGAGCGGTTTGCTGATGTCAACGTTGTGAACAGAGTGCCCCATGGTGGTGGTGGGGTTATGGTATGGGCAGGCATAAGCTACGGACAACTAACACAATTGCATTTTATCGATGGCAATTTGAATGCACAGAGATACCGTGACGAGATCCTGAGGCCCATTGTCGTGCCATTCATCCGCTTCAATCACCTCATGTTTCAGCATGATAATGCACGGCCCCATGTTGCAAGGATCTGTACACAATTCCTGGACGCTGAAAATGTCCCAATTCTTCCATGGCCTGCATACTCATCAGACCCATTGAGCATGTTTGGGATGCTCTGGACGTGTATGACAGAGTGTTCCAGTTCCCGCCAATATCCAGTAACTTCGCACCACCATTGAAGAGGAGTGGGACAACATTCCACAGGCCACAATCAGCAGCCTGATCAACTCTATGCGAAGGAGATTGTGTTGCGCTGCATGAGGCAAATTGTGGTCACACACACCTACTTTTTTTTTAAAGGTATCTGTGACCAACAGATTCATATCTGTATTCCCAGTCATGTGAAATCCATAGGTTAGCGCCTAATGAATTGATTTAAATTGACTGATTTCCTTATATGAACTGTAACTCAGTAAAATCTTTAAAATTGTTGCGTTTCTATTTTTGTTCAATGTATTTTTCTCCCTTCTCTATGAGGTGAGGCGAGGCGACACAACACCAGGGTTGGGGTTAATTCGAATTTATGTCATTCAATTTAGGAAATAAACGGACATTCCAATTCAATAATTGAAAAAATTGCTTCCATTTTAAATGATTTCTCGATAAACTGAAAAGGAGAAGCTAATCACTTCCTGAATTGAGTGACTTAAATTCCAATGGACCCCAACCCTGCACAACATGCACTTACACACACATGCACAGTATGGGCATCCACGTCTATTGCACTCATTCTCTGTCATGGCTTGATTCCAAAGTGACTGGTTTTATGTTTGTTTTTGCTTGTTTTGTCATGGAGTTTCTAATGGACCCACACAGTCTTTCATGCATACAGTAGTTCCAGCTATTTATGAGTTCATAGTCTTCCTTTAGATGTGTTACTCAACACTGGTCTTCTGTTTTCCTCTCTTTTGCTGTTTGTGCTGAGCAGTTACACAATAATCAACAGGAGGTTGGGGGGGGGGGGGGGGGGGGGCCCGGTCTCCCTTACTGCATCATTGTATAATACCGACACGTTAAAACAGTTCTCCAGACATTGTAAAAAATCGGATCATTCGCTTACTATGGCATTGGTGTATCTTGAACTCATCTGTTCTGTTCGTGTGTGTGTGTGTGTGGGGGGGGGGGGGGGGGCAGTAACTGAAAGGTCGCTGGTTCAAATCCCTGAGCCGACTAGTCTGTACCCTTGAGCAAGGCACTTAACCGTAATTGCTACTGTAAGTTGCTCTGGATAAGAATGTTGGCTAAATGACTTAAATGTGTAGTGAGATACCTAATGGCGCTGGTGATGGGGGTATATGCTAGTGGGTCTGGGCAGGTGTGATGTTTGTATTATGTTGTCGTTTGTATGTTTTCTATTGTTTATAAAATATAATCTTACACAAACAAAAGACTAAAATGTAAAAAATGTATGTGTATGTTTTACTGCAGCGTTTTGGCCACACTGACAGGCAGCTGTGTGAATGTGTGGGACGGAGGCTTCTTGACCTCAGGGTGATGTTCTGGGAACCGGAGCTGTCCTTTGGGTCTGCTTCCTCCATCCATCCCTCCCTCCCTCTATCTTTTCACTTATCCCTCCTCTTTCCCACTAAGACATCAATGGACCTAGCTGGATGGTCATTGTGTGATGGATGTACTCAAACTCTGTGGGAGATAGAGGTGTGTTTGTGTGTGTGTGTGTGTTTGTGTGTTTCCATACACACATGCTTGCGTCCGTGAGAGTGTGTGTGTGGGGAGGTGAACTTACTGCATAAGTCAGTAACTATATTACTGTTTGTGTGTCTGCGTGTGTATATAGCTATGCATGTGTGTGCTTGTGTGTGTGTATCTATGTGTGTCCGTGTATGTGTGTGGGTCAATAAGACGGAAATAACCGGAATAGTTTCACTGAAACACCAAGTTGGTGTTGAGTTGCTTGTCATCTGGAAGCCATGAAGCGTCCAGAGCCTTGCATCTGCACTCAATTAGGAACATCGGGGAATCGTGCCTGGATAGCTTCTCTTACTTCCCCCGTCTGTCTATCTGCCTCTCTCTTACTGTATGTTTTGCAACCTTTCCCTCCGTTTTCATTTGGATACTCTGGGCACTGTGGAGGGGAAGGATACCCTCAGTCTTTAAACAAGTAAACAGGGTCTCTCTCTCTCTCTCTCTCTCTCTCTCTCTCTCTCTCTCGGCATTTATCGAATCAATCCATTTTACTAGAGAGTGCACATCGCTGGTTTCCCATGTACATCAACATTACATATGTAGGATCTTAATTTGATCGCCATGTTGTTCCAGGAAAGTTCAGGTACAGCAGGAAATGCAAACTTGTAATGTATTTAAGGTTTAAAAGGGCTTCTAATGTTTGTAATTGTTTCTAATTAGCTGCTTCTCACACTCCACCTCCCTTCACATTTCTCTCTCTACTCACCCTTTTCTGAACCATGATGATGTAGGCTATGTTTTTGAACAGCTAAAATAAAAACACTGCAGCGATTTGAACGAACATTCAAGGCCATTATGAAGGCTACAACCTTTCTGTATGTTGTAACGGATATTGCAGTTGCACAAGCAGGACGCAGTCTCTACACATTGCATTGTGATGATGTAGGCTAATCTTCGTAGTTGCTGCCGTATCGTAGGCACTAGCCTGACTTGCTGAAAAAGAACACTACTTCTTTGACTGCCTTGCCTGTCTGCCTCCTACTTAGCCAATGTTTTCAATGATGATTAAAAAATAACATTAAATCGACTGTGTGTGTCTGTGTCTTGCTTGTGTTTGATATGCTGCCTAGATAGCTGCATGTAACTCCCCACTTGAGTTTTGCATTGGGGCAAAAAACGATCTGCGAGTTTGTACGAACATATTAATCATGTACATAGCTGCATGTAGCCTAACTCCCCTCCTGAAAAGAAATAACATGAAATCGTCCTTATGCTTAATATCCTACTGAGGCATGGAATGCAATAGTTTGAACATGTCGACCATGTTCTTTGTGTACAACATGAAGTTTATAGGCTACACTAGACAAAGGCGTTCATCGCCGATCAAGGAGGGGGAAGCGGCAGTGGAGCACTGAGCAGCAGCTACGTAGGCAGCGTAGTAGGCAGCAGCTATGTAAAACAAAATCCTGCACATGAGGAGAAATCTCAGTATCTTTAACCCCGGCAAATCGGGTTTCCAGAAAATCGGGCACAGCAGCTACTCCGTAATTATAATCCACATAATAATTCACATTTCCTGTTGCTGCAGGATTATTTTCCTGCTGTGAGAAACGGTTCAAATTAAGATCCTACACCTGTAGCAGATGGGGAGTTACAGGACATGCTGTGCTAGATCGATCCACCTTTCACAGGCCAAGACAAACTGATGCAGGATAAGCAGATGGTGTCCAACACACATCCACAGATATTTCCTACGTATCAATTCAATCGGAACATATTAGTTCAATTGTGGGTAGCCAAACAGTTGTGTAAGCATAAAATACTTTTTCATCTGTATATCATCATACTATCTGTCAATGAATCATGAACGTCTGTGTGTGTGTCCTCTCTCACAGACTGCCTGAAGGGTCGCTACGGGGCTGGATGTAACCAATTGTGCCACTGCTCTGGCGCGCCATGTGACAAGGTGACAGGACAGTGCCACTGCCTTGCCGGTGTGACTGGACAGCACTGTGAGACTGGTAAGGACGGGTGGCAACATGCTAATAGGGCATGTGGGGGGCATGGGGGAAGAGGAACAGGGATGATGGGTGGAGGGGTTTCCAATCACTAGATAAAAAATATTTGTTATATTGCTGTCTTTTGCTACGCAAACATCCAATGACATTTGTCAGGCACTAGGAAGCTAGAGTATCAACAGTACACAACATAGAGCTGTCACAGAAAACCTCAACTTCCAAGGTGTTTGAAAAACAAGGAAAACTAGAGAGAAGAACCAGTACTCCTAGAACTGGAGCCCATCCTCATCTGGCTGGCCCAGGCATAATGACAAATCCAATAGGAATATCCTGGCATACCGGCATGGAAAAATCCCTGTGCCGCAGTATAAGCCATGGTCGGTCCTCTTTACAAGCCCTCTTCAAATCAGCATGGGATGGGCTGGCCAGAGACGCAGCAGTATGTGTGTTACATTCAACAATGTGACCGCACATCTATCTCCAACTGCTAACTATAGTAAAACAATCCAAAAAACATGTTATGATTCCATCTCTGATGTCTTTCCATTCGGGTCCATTTGAGCTTCTCCTGGACATTGTTGTGAATACGAGCTCCTTGGAGGAGGAGATGGAACTGAGTCTGGCAGAGTTAGCGCTTAAGTTCCACACTGTTGTGTCCCAAATGGCACCCTATTCCCCACATAGTGCACTACTTTGGACCAGGGCTCTGGGAATAGGGTGCCATTTGGGATGCAACGAGTGTCTTTACTCAACCTTGTTCACCTCTGGCTGAGGTAAACATGAACCGAAATGGCACGGAAAATGATGCGGCAGCTAAAGCATCGGAGCATCTCTTCATTCACTTCTTCACAGGAAGAGTACAATATGGACCCAGAAAAACAATGTTAACACAAAAAAAGGAATGTGCACCCATTACAGTACACATGCGAGAGATGGATAGTGAGGAAGAGAGAAGGAGAGAGAGAGACAGATCAAGAGTACTCGTGGTCAGAAAAGACCTCTGTAGCGAGTTATACATATTTTAAAACAGCAGTTTATAATAATAATATAATATGCCATTTAGCAGACGCTTTTATCCAAAGCGACTTAGTCATGTGTGCATACATTTTTACATATGGGTGGTCCCGGGGATCGAACCCACTACCCTGGTGTTACAAGCGCCATGCTCTACCAATTGAGCTACAGAGGACCACCCACCCAAATGTATCAAATTAGATTTTCAAAGAAGACATTGGAATCACTACTCTGTTCTTTCTTTCGTCATAGAACACTGGTCAGAATAATAATGCTGAATAGTAATAGCCCCGTATGGAGAATATAACATTTAATTCACATTCACCATGGACAGCTTTGGAGTCTTTTTCTCTCACACTTTTTCGCTCTCTCACAATGTTTCTCTCTTGCTCTCTCTCTCTCCGTCTGTTTGTTTGTTAGAGTGTGAGGAGGGTCAGTGGGGTGTGGGCTGCTCAGGTTCCTGTCCTCGCTGTCAGAACGGGGGAGTGTGTGACAAACACAATGGAACGTGCCACTGCCAACCTGGATACACGGGCACCCTGTGTCAGAGCGGTGAGAGACACACGTGCACAAACACACTAGTTACCACTCAGACTTAGTATAATTGTAGGGGTGGGGGAAGAAATGTATACAGTAGAGTATCGCAATATTATTTTTGCAAATGTAATATTGACACTGTGACCAAGTGGCGCAGTGGTCTAAGGCACTGCATCACAGTGCTAGCTGTGCCACTAGAGATCCTGGTTTGAATCCAGGCTCTGTTGTAGCCGGCCGCGACCGGGAGACCCATGGGGCGGCGCGCAATTGGCCCAGCATTGTCCAGGGTAGGGGAGGGAATGGCCGGCAGGGATGTAGCTCAGTTGATAGAGCATGGCGTTTGCAACGCCAGGGTTGTGGGTTCGATTCCCACAGGGGGTATGAAAAAAAATGATGTATGCACTAACTGTAAGTCGCTCTGGATAAGAGCGTCTGCTAAATGACGTAAATGTAAATGTATTGATTAGTAAAAATAAATAAAAACAAAAAAATATATATTTTTTGCTTGGTTGTTAAGTTAGCTAGCGCTAGTCGGCTGTACCTGTGCCAAAACTTATTTCTCAGCCTATAGCTTGTTCTCACTGTTTTAAATGGTGTGCCAACATGTTTTGAGCACTTATCTCATGGCTCTCTCTTGTTCCTCTTCAGCAGACATATAGTGAGCAATATGTTTAAAACATTGAATCACAATAAAATTGCAGTATCGAATCGCAATACGTGATACATATAGAATCGCAACACATATTGTATCGGCACCTAAGTAACGTGATAACACTATCATGAGGCCCCTGGTAATTCCTAGCCCTATATAATTTACCATACCATCTCTCTCTCGTAGTCTGCCCGTTGGGTAGATTTGGCCTGGGTTGCCAGCTACGCTGTCGGTGTGATAACGGTGGGCGCTGCCACCCGGTGACAGGCCGCTGTGCCTGTCCTGAAGGATGGACTGGACCCAGCTGCAGTAGAGGTAAGGCTGACGGCCTGTGAGCCACAATCAATACTGTAGTACTTTATGATCCCCCTACCACTCAGACCTGGGTTCAAATCAAATATTATTTTAATCTGATTGATTTGATTGAGTTTCCCTGGCACAAGGGAACCAATAGAAGAGTCGAAAAATTGTGAACCCTGCCCATCTGGCTAAAGAAACGTATTTGAAAGAATACATATAGTAGTTGAACGCAGGTCTGCTACCACTGGCTTGTAATAAGTGATAATAACCCATAAGAATCTAAACTCTGTCTAATCCGGGGGAGGGGGTTCTACTAAGCTATATGGAATTGTTTTAAGGTCATACCAAGGATCATTTTGCTATTTGATTTTGAATTTTAAGACCCCTTGAAGGATAACAAAACTATGTATATGTTGTTTTTAATTAAACATTTTATTTGGCCTTACTGCTATTAGCCCATACAAACGCATTGAATAACAGATTCACTACATGGAACAACAGATAGTCCCCCCAAAAAATCTAAAGGAAGTTTGTTCTGAAGTGTCTGTCCTATACATGTATCTGAGAAATACAGTATATTCAGAAAGTATTCAGACCCCTTGACTTTTTCCACATTTTGTTATGTTACAGCCTTATTCTAAAATTGATTAAATCGTTTTTTCCCCCTCATCAATCTACACACAATACCCCATAATGACAAAGCAAAAACAGGTTTAGACATTTTTGCAAATGTATAAAAATATATATATATCACATTTATATTCTGTAAGTATTCAGACCCTTTACTCAGTACTTTGTTGAAGCCCCTTTGGCATCGATTACAGCCTTGAGTTATCTTGGGTATGACGCTACAAGATTGGCACACCTGTATTTGGGGAGTTTCTCCCATTCTTCTCTGCAGATCCTCTCAAGCTCTGTCAGGTTGGATGGGGAGCGTCGCTGCACAACTATTTTCAGGTCTCTCCAGAGATGTTCGATTGGGGTCAAGTCCGGGCTCTGGCTGGGCCACTCAAGGACATTCAGAGACTTGTCCCGAAGCCACTCCTGCATTGTCTTGGCTGTGTGCTTAGGGTCATTGTCCTGTTGGAAGGTGAACCTTCGCCCCAGTCTGAGGTCCTGAGCACTCTGGAGCAGGTTTTCATCAAGGATCTCTCTGTACTTTGCTCCATTCATCTTTCCCTCGATCCTAACTAGTCTCCCAGTACCTGCCGCTGAGAAACATCCCCACAGCATGACGCTGCCTCCCCTACGCTTCACCGTAGGGATGGTGCCAGGTTTCCTCCAGACGTGACACTTGGCATTCAGGCCAAAGAGTTCAATCTTGGTTTCATTAGACCAGAGAATCTTGTTTCTCATGGTCTGAGAGTCTTTAGGTGCCTTTTGGCCAACTCCAAGCGGGCTGTCATGTGCCTTTTACTGAGGAGTGGATTCCGTCTGGCCACTCTACCATAAAGGCCTGATTGGTGGAGTGCTGCAGAGATGGTTGTCCTTCTGGAAGGTTCTCCCATCTCCCCAGAGGAACTCTGGAGCTCTGTTAGAGTGACCATCGGGTTCTTGGTCAACTCCCTGACCAAGGCCCTTCTCCCCCGGTTGCTCAGTTTGGCTGGGCGGCCAGCTCTAGGAAGAGTCTTGGTGGTTCCAAACTTCTTCCATTTAAGAATGATGGAGGCCACTGTGTTCTTGGGGACCTTCAATGCTGCATAAATGGTACCCTTCCACAGATCTGTGTCACGATACAATCCTGTCTCGGAGCTCTACGGACAATTCCTTCGACCTCATGGCTTGGTTTTTGCTCTGACATGCACTGTCAACTGTGGGACCTTATATAGACAGGTGTGTGCCTTTCCAAATCTTGTCCAATCAATTGAATTTACCACAGGTGGACTCCAATCAAGTTGTAGAAACATCTCAAGGATGATCAATGGAAACAGGATGCACCTGAGCTCAATTTCGAGTCTCATAGTAAAGGGTCTGAATTCTTATGTATTCTTATAAATTTGCACACATTTCTAAAAACCTGTTTTCGCTTTGTCATTATGGGGTATTGTGTGTAGATTGGTGAGTACATTAAAAAATATATATACAGTGAAGGAAAAAAGTATTTGATCCCCTGTTGATTTTGTATGTTTGCCCACTGACAAAGACATGATCAGTCTATAATTTTAATGGTAGGTTTATTTGAACAGTGAGAGACAGAATAACAACAAAAAAATCCAGAAAAACGCATGTCAAAAATGTTATAAATTGATTTGCATTTTAATGAGGGAAATAAGTATTTGACACCTCTGCAAAACATGACTTAGTACTTGGTGGCAAAACCCTTGTTGGCAATCACAGAGGTCAGACGTTTCTTGTAGTTGGCCACCAGGTTTGCACACATCTCAGGAGGGATTTTGTCCCACTCCTCTTTGCAGATCTTCTCCAAGTAATTAAGGTTTCAAGCCTGACATTTGGCAACTCGAACGTTCAGCTCCCTCCACAGATTTTCTATGGGATTAAGGTCTGGAGACTGACTAGGCCACTCCAGGACCTTAATGTGCTTCTTCTTGAGCCACTCCTTTGTTGCCTTGGCCGTGTGTTTTGGGTCATTGTCATGCTGGAATACCCATCCACGATCCATTTTCAATGCCCTGGCTGAGGGAAGGAGGTTCTCACCCAAGATTTGACGGTACATGGCCCTGTCCATCGTCCCTTTGATGCAGTGAAGTTGTCCTGTCCCCTTAGCAGAAAAACACCCACAAAGTATAATGTTTCCACCTCCATGTTTGACGGATGGTGTTCTTGGGGTCATAGGCAGCATTCCTCCTCCTCCAAACACGGCGAGTTGAGTTGATGCCAAAGAGCTCGATTTTGGTCTCATCTGACCACAACACTTTCACCCAGTTCTACTCTGAATCATTCAGATGTTCATTGGCAAACTTCATACGGCCCTGTATATGTGCTTTCTTGAGCAGGGGGACCTTGCGGGCGCTGCAGGATTTCAGTCCTTCACGGCGTAGTGTGTTACCAATTGTTTTCTTGGTGACTATGGTCCCAGCTGCTTTGAGATCATTGACAAGGTCCTCCCGTGTAGTTCTGGGCTGATTCTTCACCATTCTCATGATCATTGCAACTCCAGGAGGTGAGATTTTGCATGGAGCCCCAGGCCGAGGGAGATTGACTGTTATTTTGTGTTTCTTCCATTTGCGAATAATCGCACCAACTGTTGTCACCTTCTCACCAAGCTGCTTGGCGATGGTCTTGTAGCCCATTCCAGCCTTGTGTAGGTCTACAATCTTGTCCCTGACATCCTTGAAGAGCTCTTTGGTCTTGGCCATGGTGGAGAGTTTGGAATCTGATTGATTGATTGCTTCTGTGGACAGGTGTCTTTTATACAGGTAACAAGCTGAGATTAGGAGCACTCCCTTTTAAGAGTGTGCTCCTAATCTCAGCTCGTTACCTGTATAAAAGACACCTCGGAGCCAGAAATCTTTCTGATTGAGAGGGGGTCAAATACTTATTTCCCTCATTAAAATGCAAATCAATTTATAACATTTTTGACATGCGTTTTTCTGGATTTTTTTGTTGTTATTCTGTCTCTCACTGTTCAAATAAACCTACCATTAAAATTATAGACTGATCATTTCTTTGTCAGTGGGCAAACGTACAAAATCAGCAGGGGATCAAATACTTTTTTCCCTCACTGTATATATTTTAGAATAAGGCAAAAAGTCAAGGGGTCTGAATACATTCCGAATGCACTGTATAAGAAATATCAGGAAACATCTTTATTTTTTATGTGTATTTAACCCCTTATTTTTGGCACTAAACAGTGTCCATATATTCACTGAACAAAAATATAAACGCAACATGTAAAGTGTTGGTCCCATATTACATTAGCTGAAGTAAATAATCCCCAACATTTTCCATACGCACAAAAACCTTCTTTCTCTTAAATTTTTGGCACAAGTTTGTTTACATCCCTGTTAGTGAGCATTTCTCCTTTGCCAAGATAATCCATTCACCTGACAGGTGTGGCATATCAAGAAGTTGATTAAACAGCATGATCATGACACAGGTGCACTTTGTGTTGGGGACAATAAAAGTCCACTTTAAAATGTGCAGTTTTGTCACACAACACAATGCCACATATGTCTCAAGTTTTGAGGGAGCATGCAATTGGCATGCTGACTGCAGGAATGTCCACAAGAGCTGTTGCCAGAGAATTGAATGTTAATTTCTCTACCTTAAGCTGTGGGGGGGACCTTCAGACGAGTTCCGGGGGACCTTCAGACGAGTCCTGTGAAGCCTGTGGGCGTCCTAGAGCAAAACAACCGACATGTACAGTGGGGAAAAAAAGTATTTAGTCAGCCACCAATTGTGCAAGTTCTCCCACTTAAAAAGATGAGAGAGGCCTGTAATTTTCATCATAGGTACACGTCAACTATGACAGATAAATTGAGAATTAGTTTTCCAGAAAATCACATTGTAGGATTTTTAATGAATTTATTTGCAAATTATGGTGGAAAATAAGTATTTGGTCACCTACAAACAAGCAAGATTTCTGGCTCTCACAGACCTGTAACTTCTTCTTTAAGAGGCTCCTCTGTCCTCCACTCGTTACCTGTATTAATGGCACCTGTTTGAACTTGTTATCAGTATAAAAGACACCTGTCCACAACCTCAAACAGTCACACTCCAAACTCCACTATGGCCAAGACCAAAGAGCTGTCAAAGGACACCAGAAACAAAATTGTAGACCTGCACCAGGCTGGGAAGACTGAATCTGCAATAGGTAAGCAGCTTGGTTTGAAGAAATCAACTGTGGGAGCAATTATTAGGAAATGGAAGACATACAAGACCACTGATAATCTCCCTCGATCTGGGGCTCCACGCAAGATCTCACCCCGTGGGGTCAAAATGATCACAAGAACGGTGAGCAAAAATCCCAGAACCACACGGGGGGACCTAGTGAATGACCTGCAGAGAGCTGGGACCAAAGTAACAAAGCCTACCATCAGTAACACACTACGCCGCCAGGGACTCAAATCCTGCAGTGCCAGACGTGTCCCCCTGCTTAAGCCAGTACATGTCCAGGCCCGTCTGAAGTTTGCTAGAGTGCAATTGGATGATCCAGAAGAGGATTGGGAGAATGTCATATGGTCAGATGAAACCAAAATATAACTTTTTGGTAAAAACTCAACTCGTCGTGTTTGGAGGACAAAGAATGCTGAGTTGCATCCAAAGAACACCATACCTACTGTGAAGCATGGGGGTGGAAACATCATGCTTTGGGGCTGTTTTTCTGCAAAGGGACCAGGACGACTGATCCGTGTAAAGGAAAGAATGAATGGGGCCATGTATCGTGAGATTTTGAGTGAAAACCTCCTTCCATCAGCAAGGGCATTGAAGATGAAACGTGGCTGGGTCTTTCAGCATGACAATGATCCCGAACACACCGCCCGGGCAACGAAGGAGTGGCTTCGTAAGAAGCATTTCAAGGTCCTGGAGTGGCCTAGCCAGTTTCCAGATCTCAACCCCATAGAAAATCTTTGGAGGGAGTTGAAAGTCCGTGTTGCCCAGCGACAGCCCCAAAACATCACTGCTCTAGAGGAGATCTGCATGGAGGAATGGGCCAAAATACCAGCAACAGTGTGTGAAAACCTTGTGAAGACTTACAGAAAACGTTTGACCTGTGTCATTGCCAACAAAGGGTATATAACAAAGTATTGAGAAACTTTTGTTATTGACCAAATACATATTTTCCACCATAATTTGCAAATAAATTCATTAAAAATCCTACAATGTGATTTTCTGGAGAAAAAAAATCTAATTTTGTCTGTCATAGTTGACGTGTACCTATGATGAAAATTACAGGCCTCTCTCATCTTTTTAAGTGGGAGAACTTGCACAATTGGTGGCTGACTAAATACTTTTTTTCCCCACTGTACGTGTTCATGAGAGTCTTACCTATCCACGACGAGACACAAAACGGAGAACACCATCGTGTTCGTGAGAGTCTCATCTTTCCATCGTGGAGTCATAATAGTATGTAGGCCAAACCATTCGGACGCTACAGACGATTTTGTAAGAAGACCGATTTTCTGGATATCTCATGGCCTGACAAACACTGCTCTAGCTCTGTCAAATTCACCGCAGATGCGGAAGTGCGACATAGGCGGATGCGGTGGATTGAGATGCATCCAATTCAAAACACAGATATTTCTAACTTAAACTGACAGGTTTTTATAGGGATTTGTTAATTATGCTAATTAGTTTTCCGCGGGGGTGTGGACATCAACCTTAGGGGGATAACACTGTACCTCATTAGTTGGTTCTTTTTTTGATCATTTTCACTTTGATTTGGAGAGACATTTTAAATACTGAAAGGTCTGGTGCGTCTGAAATGGCACTCTATTCTCCCTATAGGCCCCCTACCCAGTTGTGGAGGTCATGACTTTTGACCTCTGACCTCTGTCTCCATGGTAGCATGTGACGCCGGGCGCTGGGGTGTGGACTGTGCCAACGTGTGTGAGTGCCCGGGCAATGATGGCAGCTGTGACATCATCACGGGACAGTGTCACTGTGAGGCGGGCTACACGGGACCAAGCTGCCAACAGAGTACAAAGATAAATATTGCCTTTCTAGAGTGTGTGTGTGTGTGTGTGTGTGTGTGTGTGTGTGTGTGTGTGTGTGTGTGTGTGTGTGTGTGTGTCAGTGGAGGCTGGTGATTAGAAAAATGTAGGTGGATGGGAGACCCTCGGTATAGGCGCAGACCGCTCGGCGACAACAAAGCGTCTTTCAAAAATTGAGACACAGCAACCAACCAAGCCGACTCGCGCTATAGTAGACTAAATGTTGCCATAGGTAGGTTATTTATCCTCCAATGTGATTACGTAGTACCTGTCTTGACTGCATCAAACCAGGAGAAGCTAGCTAAGCGAGCTAGCTAGCTAGGCTAATTGAGGCTGCACGCACTTTCTCGTCCTACACAGTTACAAACAACAACAACTTCATTCAAAATATAAAGTAGCAGCCTGCCTGTTCTTAGTTGTTGTAGCCTATCCTTCTCCTTTAACTTTTAATTCCATCTTCCATTGATTAGATATCTCCTCACTTTTGCCCCACACGGAGGCTCTATGACTGTAGCCTATTGCCACTTTGATGACTTATGATTGGCCAACAACAACAAGCTACACGCGCCACTCTTGTGAAAATCAAAGAGCAGCAGCATGAATTGTACTATTTCTCTCTCTCTCTCTACTGCAGCGTTCGGATCTGTATGGGTCCTTCCGGACAAGTCAGTTAAAATTACACATACCCAAGACCTGTGACAATCATATCAGATCAGACCCAGACCCATGACATTATTTAGAATTCTGGATTCGGATGCGCTCGGGTCCCGGATCGGGTCTCAGGTATTCAGGTACAGGTGGATCTGTGAAGACCTCTTGTTCAGAGGCTTGACTTCAGTGCAAGACAGGGTTGAGGTGTTCAGAGGCTTCAGTGCAGGACAGGCTCATCATGGATGGATGATGTTGGAGAAGAGCTCAACTCTTCCACTGAGGGCAGGACAGGATTTGAATTGGAAGACAAAAAAACAATAACACAACACAGTTAGACAAAAGAGCTAAGAATGAGTAATAATGTGATTGTGTTTGTGATTGTGATTGACTCTACATACAGTAATGAGAGAAAATTGACAGGGCTACTCACAGTGCTTGGAGAGGAAACATTCAATGTTCCAGTGGATGAGGGCTCATAAAACATGGTTTAAGTTCATGTCAGGGGAGAGTTGACACTGGTAGTGGAGTGGAGTGGTCGTCACCTCTTAATCAGGGAACAAAAGGCAGATACAAATAGCAGATACATTCCATTACAGCAGTGCCATCATAGGTTTGGGCAACAAGTTTCTCCATAAAGTTAAAGGCCGATCTACTAAGCTAACAAATGAAATTGTTATAAGATTGTCATACCATGGATAATTTATCTATTTGATTTTGAATTTTAGGACCCCTGTAGGTATAAAATAAATATATTTTTTAATGATTTTATAAAATATTGAATTTGGCCTTTACTACTATAGCCCATAGAAATGCATTGAAGAGCACATTCATAAATGGCCAAAAATTAATCATGAGGAAAAAGGTTGTGTAGTGTCTGTACGAAAGCTCAGGAAATATTTAAGTTTTTTTAACCCCTTTTTTTGTAGGCACAAAACTACCTACATACTTCCATTCATTTTTTAAAACTGGGACCAGGTTACCTTTAGACTAGTGCAGTGACGCTTGGTTGTAGAGCCATTGTGTTCATGAGAATCCCCCTGTGTTCGTGAGAATCCCCCCTTTCAATAGAGTGGTTATATTAGTTAGTAGGCCAAACCGTTCGGACGCTACAGATGTTTCCGTGAGAAGACCGATTTTCTCCTGGTCTGAAAAACTGTGCTGTAGCTCTGCCACTTTCCACTGCAGATGCGGAAGGCCGGATGCGGTGGATTGAGACGCAGTCCATGCAAAAAAACAGATATCTCTAGCTTAAACTGACAGATTCTGATGGGGATTTTTTAAATTCTGTTACTTAGATTGACACATCAATGTAGCCCAAGAAACATTCCTGAATAAAGACCTGATCATCCACATACTTGATGGCCCCACAGGTCGGAGAGTGGTGGGGCAATATTTTTCTTCCCTGGGGCTCAGCGTTTTTGCTTATCTGGTAACCTAACCAGATAAAACTCTGCAACCTATAGGGTATGACAGTGATTAATTACTGGTTTTATATGGGCTATGATGGGACCAGTGTTTCTAATCAGGCCACATGGTTTTAAACTCCAGGGCCTTTGGAGGATGAAAACCCTGTCAAACTACAGCAACCTTGTACTTGCTCATATGAATTATATTTAGACCCGTTCCGAAAATGGATCCGTGGCTTTTCCACCTGACCCGATATGCATAAATAAATAATAATTAAACGGAGACCCGTTCGGAATGGACCCGAGGACAGTCCGACCCATTCCGAAAAGGCCAGTGGAAAAACAGACCCAAACCGACCCGTGCTGGTTCGGATCCGAGAGACCCGTTCAGATCTGAGAATAGAAAGAGCGAGAGAAAGAAACCTCCTACTGGGTGCTGCCAACGCCATCAATAAACAGGCAATATTGGCCAATTGATCCACAGTTACTGTCTGAGATTTTAGTGCAAGCCCTAGAGAGACCGAGAGAAAAATAGAGATATGCCGGTGCCATGTTCTTTATCCTTCTCAGACTGCTATGCAGATATACAGTGCATTCGGAAAGTATTCAGACCCCTTGACTTTTTCCACATTTTGTTACGTTAATCTGCAAATAGTCTCGTTTTCATCCCATACAGATACAGATGTCAGATCGCTAATGTTTAGGTGTAGCCTAGGCTGCTGCAACATTTATGTAAATAGTTTTTGCTTGTGTCTGTCGGGAGTTATGATGTGTTAACATCACGTTTGCAAAATAAATATCGGAGAAAAGTGAAAGCACACTTGAGCGCGTTGTGCAAAAAAATGATCTGCTTCAACCTCCCACTGGGCACAGATGTCAATACAATGTCTATTCCACGTTGGTTGAACGTAATTTCGTTGAAATGATGTGGAAACAATGTTGATTCAACCAGTGTGTGCCCAATAGGCTTTTTTTTAAAATATAACTTTTAACAGATGATGTGATGGAAGCTATCAAATCATTTTGAATTGATTTCGACATCCCAGAGAACACAGCAGAAACGTCCATCACATCAAAGCATCGTAATGTGCAATTACTTCTGCAAACTCCTTGTAGTTGCTCTTGTTTCCCTCTCATCGTGCCCCTAAGTAAAAGCCAACTCTTGCATGGCCAAAAATGCAGTATTGTTGATAAGCTATTTCTTCTTACCTTCTCGTTTGTCTTGTGCAGTTTGAATAAGCAGACCTTCATCAATGTGGCTTTTTCCAAGAAGCTTGAATCTGATGTGGGCAATGAAAGTGGTTCTTCAACAAAAAATCCACTACATTGTCGTTAGCGTTAGCCATTCTGGCAGAGAAAACTGCACTCTGGTAGCTAGCTAGCTATTTGCTACTGAGGTGTGGCAAGGCTCAAATATACAATTCTAAAACCAAGAAAACAATATATAATCTACCTCCTCCGTCACCTGTAGTGTAAAGAAAGTAATTTGAATTGAATAATATCCTAAAAACTATAACTATTCACTAAATCAATCTCAATCTATCCAACAATGTCACCAACTCACAAAAATCACACATGCGTAGTAATAAGTTAATTCTCTGATCCTTTGATTGGATGGACAACATGTTAGTGCATACTGCAAAAGCTTTGATTGGTTGCAGGACGTGTTCTGGAAGTAGAGTCACAGAGGAAGGCTGTGCTTCTCTGGTCTTTCTGGTATCTTAAACCTCTCACACCTGAGAGAGCTGGACTTGAGTATAGAAAGACTCAGAAGTGAAGCTTTTACTATGTACTGTAGGTCTATGGAAGGGGGTGAGGAGCACAAGCCTCCTAGGTTTTGTATTGACGTCAATGTAGCCAGAGGAGGATAGAAAATAGCTGTCCTCCGGCTACACCATGGTGCTACCCTAGAGGGTACTATTGAGACTACTGTAAACATTCACTTTAAAACAGTGTGTTTTAATCAGGTATTTGGTGACATTAATATATTTAGTATAGTTTTATCTAAAAGGATAATTTTTCTGAAATTCACTGAGCAAGATGGTCCTCCCCTTTCTTCCTCTGAGGAGCCTACACTGGTGTGTGTGTGTGTGCGTGCATGTGCATGTGCGTGGGTGTAGATGTGTGTTACTGTACATACACTAGCTGGGTTGGGGCCTTCTCTGCCTGACACTGTTTAATAACAAAGTCACTAGCATGGAGAAGTGTTTTAGTTTCTCTCTAAGCTCTCTCTCTCTGCTCCGGTGCTGAAACAGAGTGCCCAGAGGGCTCCTTTGGCGCTGGCTGCAGACGCAGGTGCCAGTGTGCCAACGAGGCGGCCTGTGAGCATGTGGGTGGAGCCTGCACCTGCCTGCCTGGTTGGACCGGCACCTACTGTGAAAAACGTAAGTGTGTGTGTGTGTTGGATAACTAATTACAGTATGGCTGTGTATGTATGTGATGAATGCCCACGTGATATGTTTGTAATGTGTAGGTGTGTATTTGTGACTGTGGGTGTGTATTTATGACTGTGCTTGTGTGTGTGTGCACGTGCGTGCATGTGTGCATTTCGATGTGCCGTGTGTGTGTTTTGCAGCTTGTCCTGAAGGCTTCCATGGGCTGGAGTGTCAGCAGCAGTGTCAGTGTTCTAATGGGGGGAGATGTGACCACCTGACAGGGGCCTGCCACTGTCCAGACGGCTGGGTCGGATCACAATGCAACACCAGTGAGTCCTATTGGCTTATACACCCATTCATCCATCCATCCGTGGAATTTCTGTAGCAGCTCAAAAAAAGAAAAGAGAAACAGAAAAACAGGTGGAAGTAGATTTAATGAAGCAACTACACCCCATTGTGCTATTTCTCTCTGTGTCTGGTGCATTAATACTCATGTTCCCCAATTGTATGTGGCACTGCATAATCCCCTGGATCAACATAGTCATTTTTCAGTTCTAACTGGTAACGGGGTGCCAGCAGGGCCCATTCTAAAGAAGTGTGTGTGTGTGTGTGTGTGTGTGTATGTGTGTGTGTGTGTGTGTTTGTGTGTGTGTGTGTGTGTGTGTGTGCGTATGTACAGTGCATTCGGAAAGTATTCAGACCCCTTGACTTTTTCCACATTTTGTTATGTTACAGCCTTATTCTAAACTGGATAAAATTGTTTTTCCCCCCTCATCAATCTACACACAATACCCCATAATGACAAAGCAAAAACAGGTTTTTAGACATCTTTGCAAATAAAAAGTATCAATTTTACATTTACATAAGTATTCAGACCTTTTACTCAGTTTGTTGAAGCACCTTTGGCAGCGATTACAGCCTTGTGTCTTCTTGGGTATGACGCTACAAGCTTGGCACACCTGTATTTGGGGAGTTTCTCCCATTCCTCGCTGCAGATCCTCTCAAGCTCTGTCAGGTTGGATGAGGAGCGTCGCTGCACAGCTATTTTCAGGTCTCTCCAGAGATGTTCGGGCTCTGGCTGGGCCACTCAAGGAACTTCAGAGACTTGTCCCGAAGCCACTCCTGTGTTGTCTTGGCTGTATGCTTAGGGTCGTTGTCCTGTTGCAAGGTAAACCTTCATCAAGGATCTCTCTGTACTTTGCTCCATTCATCTTTCCCTTGATCCTGAACAGTCTCCCAGTCCCTGCCGCTGAAAAGCATCCCCACAGCATGATGCTGCCACCACCATGCTTCACCGTAGGGATGGTGTCAGGTTTCCTCCAGACGTGACGCTTGGCATTCAGGCCAAAGAGTTCAATCTTGGTTTAATCAGACCAGAGAATCTTGTTTCTCATGGTCTGAGAGTCTTTAGGTGCCTTTTGGCCAACTCCAAGCGGGCTGTCATGTGCCTTTTACTGAGAAGTGGCTTCCGTGTGGCCAGTCTACCATAAAGGCCTGATTGGTGGAGTGCTGAAGAGATAGTTGTCCTTCTGGAAGGTTCGCCCATCTCCACAGAGGAACTCTGGAGCTCTGTCAGAGTGACCATCGGGTTCTTGGTCACCTCCCTGATTAAGGCCCTTCTCCCCCGATTGCTCAGTTTGGCCGGGCGGCCAACTGTAGGAAGAGTCTTGGTGGTTTCAAACTTCTTCCACTGTGTCCACTGTGTTCTTGGGGACCTTCAATGCTGCAGACATTATTTGGTACCCTTCCCCAGATCTGTGCCTCGACACAATCCTGTCTCTGAGATCTACGGACAATTCCTTCGACCTCATGGCTTGGTTTTTGCTCTGACATGCTCTGTCAATTGTGGGACCTTATATAGACAGGTGTGTGCCTTTCAAAATCATGTCCAACCAATTGAATTTACCACAGATGGACTCCAGTCAAGTTGTAGAAATATCTCAAGGATGATCAATGGAAACAGGATGCACCTGAGCTCAATTTCGAGTCTCATAGCAAAGGGTCTGAATACTTATGTAAATAAGGTATTTCTGTTGTTTAAAAAAAAATACATTTGAAAAAATGTCTAAAAAACAGTTTTCGCTTTGTCATTATGGGGTATTGTGTGTAGATTGCTGAGGATTTAAAAAATTGTTATCCATTTTAGAATAAGGCTGTAACGTAACAAAATGTGGAAAAAGTCAATGTCTGAATACTTTCCGAATGCACTGTATGTGTGTGTCTGTTTCCTGCAGCTGTGCCTGTATTGTGTGGAGAGCCGAGCGTTTCCAAAACTCTGTCAAGACACACTTTGTATCTGTGTACAGTTACAGAATGTTATGGCTGTTTTTGTTCCCCCTAACATTCTGCACCCTGCTCCTGTTGTAGCATGCCAGGCAGGGTGGTTTGGCCATTGGTGTCAACACACCTGTGAGTGCCATAATAATGCCAGCTGTGACCCTGTGAGCGGGCAGTGCCAGTGTATGCCAGGCTGGACTGGCCCCAGCTGTGAGCAAGGTACTGTCAGTGTGCGTGTGTGTTTGTTTCTGTTTGTGTGTGTGTGCGTGCATTCGTGTGTGTTTGTATGCATACCTGTGTACATGTGGAGTGGTTTCCCCTGTATTAATTTAGCAGCAGTGCACCGTTAAATTGTTGCCGCCAAACCCCCAAAAAATTAAAATATAGCAATGGTAGATTGAAAGGCTTTCCCAAATACTTTCTCAATTAAATGTCAACTAACTACAAAGTAGCCTATGCCTACCTGTCAGAATGATATCATGATTATGTGCATACATTTATTGGGCATTCGTTTTGCGAACTCCATCACATATGCACTACATATCCGCTGCTAACCAAACAACAGTGCTAGGTGCATGCTCACTTTAATTAAGGGGTAACTATACTCAAAAATTTAAAAACATTTCTTAGATTTTCCACACACCTCAGAAGTGGTCTCCTGATGTGATTTAAGCATTGTTGTGGACTTAGAACATCAATAATTAAAACAAATATATTAACACTAGAAGCGCAGAGAGCGTCATTTTGAATTTATGAATTTACATGTTTTATTAATTTGCTGTATTTGAAGTCATGTCCCCCCAGTCCTTCACTTTTCCTAAATAAGTATATTTAACACACGTACAATGAAGTCCAAAAAATGATTGGATCACTTGATAAAGATGAGCAAAAAAAGACTGTATCAAATAAATAATACAAATACAGAGCTATATTGTATGGAAATATATATATATATATATATATATATATATATATATATATATATATATATATATATACAGTGAGGGGAAAAAAGTATTTGATCCCCTGCTGATTTTGTACGTTTGCCCACTGACAAAGAAATGATCAGTCTATAGTTTTAATGGTAGGTTTATTTGAACAGTGAAAGACAGAATAACAACAACAAAAATCCAGAAAAACACATGTCAAAAATGTTATAAATTGATTTGCATTTTAATGAGGGAAATAAGTATTTGACCTCCTCAACATCAGAAAGATTTCTGGCTCCCAGGTGTCTTTTATACAGGTAACGAGCTGAGATTAGGAGCACACTCTTAAAGGGAGTGCTCCTAATCTCAGTTTGTTACCTGTATAAAAGACACCTGTCCACAGAAGCAATCAATCAATCAGATTCCAAACTCTCCACCATGGCCAAGACCAAAGAGCTCTCCAAGGATGTCAGGGACAAGACTGTACACCTACACAAGGCTGGAATGGGCTACAAGACCATCGCCAAGCAGCTTGGTGAGAAGGTGACAACAGTTAGTGCGATTATTCGCAAATGGAAGAAACACAAAATAACTGTCAATCTCCCTCGGCCTGGGGCTCCATGCAAGATCTCACCTCGTGGAGTTGCAATGATCATGAGAACGGTGAGGAATCAGCCCAGAACTACACGGGAGGATCTTGTCAATGATCTCAAGGCAGCTGGGACCATAGTCACCAAGAAAACAATTGGTAACACACTACGCCGTGAAGGACTGAAATCCTGCAGCGCCCGCAAGGTCCCCCCGCTCAAGAAAGCACATATACATGCCCGTCTGAAGTTTGCCAATGAACATCTGAATGATTCAGAGGAGAACTGGGTGAAAGTGTTGTGGTCAGATGAGACCCAAATGGAGCTCTTTGGCATCAACTCAACTCGCCGTGTTTGGAGGAGGAGGAATGCTGCCTATGACCCCAAGAACACCATCCCCACCGTCAAACATGGAGGTGGAAACATTATGCTTTGGGGGTGTTTTTCTGCTAAGGGGACAGGACAACGTCACTGCATCAAAGGGACGATGGACAGGGCCATGTACCGTCAGATCTTGGGTGAGAACTTCCTTCCCTCAGCCAGGGCATTGAAAATGGGTCGTGGATGGGTATTCCAGCATGACAATGACCCAAAACACACAGCCAAGGCAACAAAGGAGTGGCTCAAGAAGAAGCACATTAAGGTCCTGGAGTGGCTTAGCCAGTCTCCAGACCTTAATCCCATAGAAAATCTGTGGAGGGAGCTGAAGGTTCGAGTTGCCAAACATCAGCCTCGAAACCTTAATGACTTGGAGAAGATCTGCAAAGAGGAGTGGGACAAAATTCCGCCTGAGATGTGTGCAAACCTGGTGGCCAACTACAAGAAACATCTGACCTCTGTGATTGCCAACAAGGGTTTTGCCACCAAGTACTAAGTCATGTTTTGCAGAGGGGTCAAATACTTATTTCCCTCATTAAAATGCAAATCAATTTATAACATTTCTGACATGCGTTTTTCTGGATTTTTTTGTTGTTATTCTGTCTCTCACTGTTCAAATAAACCTACAATTAAAATTATAGACTGATCATTTCTTTGTCAGTGGGCAAACATACAAAATCAGCATGGGATCAAATACTTTTTTCCCTCACTGTATATATATATACATATACATAATATATATTATTTTATACTAATACTGTTGCTTAGAGAAAAAGACAAGTCATACAAAAACAACTCAAAAGATACAGGTCAAAATGATTGAATGCCCTGTTTTCAATACTCCAGCTCCCTCACCTTGCGAGTATAACTGAGCCATCTTCCTTTTGAGGCAAAACCAACCACTGGAGTGCATGGCCAAAGAGCTGTATTTTCATGTCATCTGACCATAGTGCCGCTTCCAGTCCAAGTACCAGTGCCATTTAGCAAACTCCAGGCGTTTACATTTGTTGGATGACATGAAAATAGAGCTCTTTGGCCACACACACCAGTGGTGGGTTTTGCGTCAGAAGAAAGATGCATATGCAGAAAAGAATTCCTACCTACTGTAAAATATGGTGGTGGATCTTTTGATGTTATGGAGCTTTTTTTCTTCCACTGGTCCTGAGGCCCTTGTTAAGGTCAAAGGCATCATAAACTTTACCAAGTGCGAGGACATTTCTGCCAAAAACCTTACTGCCTCTGCCAGGAGGCTGAAACTTGGCTGCAAGTGAATCTTCCAGCAAGACAATAACCGTAAGAACAAATCAAAATCCACACAAAAATAATAATAATGTGACCACAAAATCAACATTTTGCAATGGCCATCTTGGTCTCCGGACATGAACCCCATTGAAAACCTGTGGTTTGAATTGAAGAGGGCAGTCCATGCGCAGACGAAGGATATAAAAAATCTGGAAAGATTCTTGATTGAGGAATGGTCTAAGAAACCTCCAAATATTTTTTTTAATCTGATAAAACATTTTAGAAAAAGGTTTTGTGACGTTATCCTCACAAGGGGAGGGTGCTGGAGAATTGAAAACAGAAAATCCAATCATTTTGACCCCTCTCCTTTTCAGATTTTTTGTATGACTTATTAAACAATATCTATTTCTCTGAGCATGCAATATAGCTCAGTATTTGTATTATTTATTTTAAACAGTATTTTTTGCTCATCTTTATACAGTGGGGGAAAAAAAGTATTTAGTCAGCCACCAATTGTGCAAGTTCTCCTACTTAAAAAGATGAGAGAGGCCTGTAATTTTAATCATAGGTACACGTCAATTATGACAGACAAAATGAGGAAAAAAAATCCAGAAGATCACATTGTAGGATTTTTAATGAATTTATTAGCAAATTATGGTGGAAAATAAGTATTTGGTCAATAACAAAAGTTTCTCAATACTTTGTTATATACCCTTTGTTGGCAATGACACAGGTCAAACGTTTTCTGTAAGTCTTCACAAGGTTTTCACACACTGTTGCTGGTATTTTGGCCCAATTCCTCCATGCAGATCTCCTCTAGAGCAGTGATGTTTTGGGGCTGTCGCTGGGCAACACAGACTTTCAACTCCCTCCAAATATTTTCTATGGGGTTGAGATCTGGAGACTGGCTAGGCCACTCCAGGACCTTGAAATGCTTCTTACGAAGCCACTCCTTCGTTGCCCGGGCGGTGTGTTTGGGATCATTGTCATGCTGAAAGACCCAGCCACGTTTCATCTTCAATGCCCTTGCTGATGGAAGGAGGTTTTCACTCAAAATCTCACGATACATGGCCCCATTCATTCTTTCCTTTACACGGATCAGTCGTCCTGGTCCCTTTGCAGAAAAACAGCCCCAAAGCATGATGTTTCCACCCCCATGCTTCACAGTAGGTATGGTGTTCTTTGGATGCAACTCAGCATTCTTTGTCCTCCAAACACGACGAGTTGAGTTTTTACCAAAAAGTTCTATTTTGGTTTCATCTGACCATTTGACATTCTCCCAATCCTCTTCTGGATCATCCAAATGTACTCTAGCAAACTTCAGACGGGCCTGGACATGTACTGGCTTAAGCAGGGGGACATGTCTGGCACTGCAGGATTAGAGTCCCCGGCGGCGTAGTGTGTTACTGATGGTAGGCTTTGTTACTTTGGTCCCAGCTCTCTGCAGGTCATTCACTAGGTCCCCCCGTGTGGTTCTGGGATTTTTGCTCACCGTTCTTGTGATCATTTTGACCCCACGGGGTGAGATCTTGCGTGGAGCCCCAGATCGAGGGAGATTATCAGTGGTCTTGTATGTCTTCCATTTCCTAATAATTGCTCCCACAGTTGATTTCTTCAAACCAAGCTGCTTACCTATTGCAGATTCAGTCTTCCCAGCCTGGTGCAGGTCTACAATTTTGTTTCTGGTGTCCTTTGACAGCTCTTTGGTCTTGGCCATAGTGGAGTTTGGAGTGTGACTGTTTGAAGTTGTGGACAGGTGTCTTTTATACTGATAACAAGTTCAAACAGGTGCCATTAATACAGGTAACGAGTGGAGGACAGAGGAGCCTCTTAAAGAAGAAGTTACAGGTCTGTGAGAGCCAGAAATCTTGCTTGTTTGTAGGTGACCAAATACTTATTTTCCACCATAATTTGCAAATAAATTCATTAAAAATCCTACAATTTCCTCAATTTGTCTGTCATAGTTGACGTGTACCTATGATGAAAATTACAGGCCTCTCTCATCTTTTTAAGTGGGAGAACTTGCACAATTGGTGGCTGACTAAATACTTTTTTTCCCCACTGTAAAGGGATCAAATAATTTTGTACCCCACTGTATGTTGAATTTCGACATCACAAACATAATTTGTGTTATAAGCAGTTTTAAGAGGACGTGTAATTCCCCCCCGCCCCTCATTCACTGCCAGTCAGCCTTTGATGTTTTAATGTCTATATAGTATCAGAAAAGGCAGATTCTGCAATTTCCAAATCACCTACCATTGCTAAACAACTCTTTAAAATGAGCCCATTAAGCACTATTCAAAATATAACTTTTTGGCAGAATTACCATGATTCCATGGACTCCAGTAATATATTTAAACTCAAAATATGCCATTCTGATCTTTTGAAATGCATTTTCTTAGTTTCATAATGTTCCTTAAGACCTGCCTAAACAAATTAATAATGGATGATCTTTGTGATGGTGTTTGAATTTAGGTGTTTTAGTGTTTTTTCATTTATAGCCTACAGTTACATTAAAGACATGTTCTGGAACGTTGGCGACTACTAAGTATTTTTTAAACATCCCGCTTTGGGCTGGATGTGTTAATGTGTAGTGCATACATAATCTATGAGCAGAATTTGAGCATAATTTTACCCCAATTAGCCATTAAATCCCTAGTTTGAAAGCAACTGTATTTCTGGAAGCTGTTCTGCGCCATTTTACCTACATTTTCCCCCCAAGTGGGCCAGCCCCCTAGCAATCCGAGTTCAACCAATGAGCTTCAGCCCCTTTCCAAATGAGTGACAGCTAGCAAGATGCACATGATGCACCCACAGCAGAGAGAGAGAGAAATTACGTGGTGCACATATCTCACATAGTACGCAATTTTCAGGGACCACTTTTGCCTCGTGAGCGCTACTTTCAGAACTACTGGCTAAAAAGTATACAAAAGTATACAAAGAAAATGCTATTGTGTTGAAATACATTTTCTTTCATATTCTAATGTTAGCTTCATAAACAAAACCAAAGGATTATTCTTGTGATGTCATATGTGAAATGTATTTATTAGACTGTTGACGTCAAAAAATACGTTTCATTTGCTCAGAACCGGGGGGTATCGAGGACCGGCATTTTAAGTGTTGAAAAAGTGTGATTTTGAGAGCGAAAACATGAAAAAACTGGGGAAGATCCGAAACCTGAACAACCCACCCCTCATTCCCTTTCTACCACTGCTAAAATACATTCTAGTGGAAACACTGTTGTGTATGCATGCATTCATGCACACGCTTCCGGGCATGTTTGTGAAAGAGAGTCTGTGTGTGTGCCGTTGCATGTGTGCGTGCGTGACAGAGAATGTATTATTTCGCCTCCAGTAACCCACAGGCAAAATTGGGAAGTCCATTTGAAAAGCAGGCTATACTTAGCTGCTATTCAAAATTCCACATCTTTACACTTCATTCCCTTACCTGCAGCAAGCCCCATTAAGAAAGCGCATCCCTAATGCTAGGTAATGGTAGCATTCTTTCCCTTTCCAACCACTATACATACTGCACTCTGAATCACTACCCTTCTCCCTAAAGTGTGCACTCATTCACTCCACCTAAAGGAGTGAAATGGAACAGACTTTTCATAATTCTCTACCCTTTCCCCTGAGGTGTGCACTCGGCTTGTTCACTCCCCCTCATGGATTGAAATAAAACGGACTGATGTACGTATGAAATATGGTGAAATCTGTCTCCTGCTTACAGCGATGTGTATCTCTCTTTCAGAATGTCTAGAAGGCTTCTATGGGTCAGACTGCCTGCATCACTGCCCGTGTCAGAATGGAGGTGTGTGTGATCGTTTCTCCGGGGGATGCTCATGCCCAAATGGGTGGACCGGGGCGGCCTGCGAACTGGGTAAGTGATGGAGCAACCAAGAGGACCAAATGGAGAAGAAGGGGGATTAGGAGATTTGCAATGCACTTAGGCCCTGTAACAAAAGTTAATGCAGTAACGCCGGATAACGTAATACAATTACCATAAATATCCCAGTAGCCACTAGCCAGTAAGCATGCTTTTAACCCTCAAGCTACCGACTGGGGTCATGTTGACCCCAGAGGCATATCATAGCCTAGAATTGACTTCGTGGCCACAGACAATTTCACCCTTAATGATCAACACTTTTCTTCAAGTGGGTGAGGCGGTTCAGGGAGTGGCATCTCTTCAACCAAGCGACACCCTTTGTTGCTAGGAAGGAACAGTTGGTATTGTCTTGAAAATACAGCCTAGTATATAAAATCAATGACAAAAATGTAGGCTATAAATGCATTTTTACGCTTTGAGAGAAATTCTTCCCGCAGTTAGAGCAGTGGCAAGACTTCTATCCAGTGTGCAGCCGCTGGTGTACTTTTCATTGATCTTATCTATCAAATCTGGCGCCACAATCACAGTAGTGGTAATGTTTCTCTCCTGTGTGTATTAGCTTGTAACGGTTTTTAGGATCAGAGAAACTCTTTCCACAGTCAGAACAGTGGTAAGGCTTTTCTCCAGTGTGTATACGCTGGTGTACTTTTAATTGATATTGTCTAGTAAATTCAGCACCACAATCAGAGCATTGGTAAGGCTTTGCTCGTGTGTATTCGCTTGTGGGTTTTTAAGGTTTTGAATCTAGTGAAACTTATGCCACTATCAGAGCAGTGGTAAGGCTTCTCCCCTGTGTGTGTTAGCTTGTGGCTTTTTAAGTCCGTCAAATTAGAAAACCTTTTCACTAGTATGTTTTTGTTGGTGATTTTTTAAGCTTTTAGAATGAGAGAAACTCTTCCCACCGTGAGAGCAGTGGTAAGGCTTCTCTCCTGTGTGTATCTGCTGGTGTACTTTTAATTGATATTGTCTAGCAAATCTATCTCCACAATCAGAGCAGTGGTAAGGCTTCTCTCCTGTGTGCACTGATGGTTAATTAGATAACTTGATGGCTTTGTCACGAACTGGCCCATAACAAATAGGGAGACAACGTGGAGAAAAGGAATGAGAAAATATATTTATTAACTAAAGCAAACTATATACAGTTAACAATGGTGTGTGTAGTCAATAATCAGTAGTGTAAGTGAGTGGATGCATGCATAGATGTGATAATGAGTGTTGAAAGGTACCCAAGCAAACAAACAATGCCACAACCAAAATCCAACAGTGTGTCTGCATGGAGAGTCTCCACAATTAAAGGGGGAAAGGTGTATTTATCCCTGGAACGCACCCGAGCCCAGGTGTGTCCCATTTCTCTGACGACCCTCCCGGCTCCGCCCAACGACATCCTATTAAGGAAAATAAGAACAAAGAGAATTCTGCAGACAGAGTGGGAGGGGCCTGGAAACTAACCAATGTACTCTCTCCAACGCAGCAAATTTAATCCATTTTAGAATAAGGCTGTAATGTAACAAAATGTGGAAATAGTCAAGGGGTCTGAATACTTTCCGAAGGCACTGTAGTTCATTGGGCATGAGGGACAGCCTATGTACACAACAAGCTGATAACTGTTGATGGAAGAAAGCATGACACTAATTCAATAGTTTCGTTCTAGTTCCACAAACATAGCAAAAAAAACAACACTGTAATGCAAATACTAAAGTTATTGAAGAATTCACATGGAATGGGCCAAAATAGGCACATCAAGATTTGCATATACTCTACCTTCACTTCAGTTGAGTGGTCTGGCGTTTGGACCTCACTTTGACATCCAATATCTATTGAGCTTTTTGTCAAAAAATAAATGAAACAGTTCCATGTGAGAAATAGTCCTACAGTAAGACTAAAGATGATAACATGTGCCAGATAACATGGCCAATGTTGAATGAATGAAACTCCGCTCAATATCCCCCACTCCCCAAAATATTAGCTATATTACCTGTCCTTTTTCCGATGAGCCATGGTCAGGATAAATCAGGCACACAAAAAATGTTCTAGAGGCAAGCTGAAGTTCGGAGCCGAAGTCTACGGCCCTTCGTCAGCCATTGGTCAACAGTAGAGATTCCTCAATTAAGTATTTGTTGTCATTCAATGAGAGACGACTCATTTTCATTAAGATTTTTTTTTTAGTTAGATGTAAAATTGTGCGACTAAGATCTCCTCATATTATTATATTATATTATTATTATTATATTATATCTCCTCTGCATATTTTGAGGAAGCATAAACTGGCTACAATGTCTCAAAATGGACAAAGAGTACTATTGCCGCTTTTTTCTCATATTTAAAGCAAAGGTCTTTTAAAGGAGTATGCGAGCACATTCGTTCAGTTCGGCCGGGTTTGGCTAGCCGAGTTCGGCTAGGCGCCAGCCGAACTGAAGCATGCTGACGCCTTAAGAGCTTTCCACACCTGGATTGTGCAACATTTGCCCATTATTCTTATAAAAAATGTCTTTGAACTCTGTCAAAGTGGTTGTTAATTATTGCTAGACAACTATTTTCAGGTCTTGTCATAGATTTTCAATTAGATTTAAGTCAAAACTGTAACTCGGCAACTTCGGAACATTCACTGTCTTCTTGGTAAGCAACTCCAGTGTAGATTTGGCCTTGTGTTTTAGGTTATTGTCCTGCTGAAAGGTGAATTCATCTCGCAGTGTCTGGTGGAAAGCAGACTAAACTAAGTTTTCCTCTAGGATTTTGCCTGTGCTTAGCTCCACTCCGTTTCAATTTTATCCTGAAAAACGTCCCAGTTCTTAACGATTACAAACATACCCATAACATGATGCAGCCATGGTGTTTTTCCTATTTTGTTGCATTACAACCTGTAATTTAAATGGATTTTTATTTGCATTTCATGTAATGGACATACCCAAAATAGTCCAAATTGGTGAAGTGGAATGAAAAGAATAACTTGTTTAAAAAAATTCAAAAAAATAAATAACAGAAAAGTGGTGCGTGCATATGTATTCACCCCCTTTGCTATGAAGCCCCTAAATAAGATCTGGTGCAACCAATTACCTTCAGAAGTCACATAATTACTTAGATAAAGTCAACCTGTGTGCAATCTAAGTGTCACATGATCTGTCACATGATCACGGTATATATACACCTGTTCTGAAAGGCCCCAGAGTCTGTAACACCACTAAGCAAGGGGCACCACCAAGCAAGCGGAACCATGAAGACCAAGGAGCTCTCCAAACAGGTCAGGGACAAAGTTGTGGAGAAGTACAGATCAGGGTTGGGTTATAAAAAATATCAGAAACTTTTAACATCCCACGATGCACCATTAAATCCATTATTAAAAAATTGAAAGAATATGACACCACAACAAACCTGCCAAGAGAGGGCTGCCCACCAAAACTCATGGACCAGGCAAGGAGGGCATTAATCAGAGAGGCAACAAAGAGACCAAAGATAACCCTGAAGGAGCTGCAAAGCTCCACAGCGGAGATTGGAGTATCTGTCCATAGGACCACTTTAAGCCGTACACTCCACAGAGCTGGGCTTTACAGAAGAGTGGCCAGAAAAAAAGCCATTGCTTAAAGAAAAAAAATAAGCAAACACGTTTGGTGTTCACCAAAAGGCATGTGGGAGACTCCCCAAACATATGGAAGAAGGTACTCTGGTCGGATGAGACTAAAATTGTGCTTTTTGGCCATCAAGGAAAACGCTATGTCTGGCGCAAACCCAACACCTCTCATCACCCCGAGAACACCAACAGGGACTGGGAAACTGGTCAGAATTGAAGGAATGATGGATGGCGCTAAACACAGGGACATTCTTGAGGGAAACCTGTTTTAGTCTTCCAGAGATTTGAGACTGGGACGGAAGTTCACCTTCCAGCAGGACAATGACCCTAATCATACTGCTAAAGCAACACTCGAGTGGTTTAAGGGGAAACATTTAAATGTCTTGGAATGGCCTAGTCAAAGCCCAGACCTCAATCCAATTGAGAATCTGTGGTATGAGTTAAAGATTGCTGTACACCAGCGGATCCCATCCAACTTGAAGGAGCTGGAGCAGTTTTGCCTTGAAGAATGGGCAAAAATCCCAGTGGCTAGATGTGCCAAGCATATAGAGACATACCCCAAGAGACTTGCAGCTGTAATTGCTGCAAAAGGTGGCTCTACAAAGTATTGACTTTGGGGGGGGGGGGTGAATAGTTATGCACGCTCAAGTTTTCTGTTTTTTTTGTTTTACAAAATATTTTGCATCTTAAAAGTGGTAGGCATGTTGTGTAAATCAAATGATACAAACCCCCCAAAAATCAATTTTAATTCCAGGTTGTAAGGCAACAAAATAGGAAAAATGCCACGGGGAGTGAATATTTTCGCAAGCCACTGTATACTTGAAGATATGGAGAGTGGTACTCAGTAATGTGTTGTATTGGATTTTCCCGAAGCATAACACTTTGCAGTATTACTTTAGTGCCTTGTTGCAAACAGGATGCATGTTTTGGAATATTCTTCTTCTGCCCAGGCTTCCTTCTTTTCACTCTGTCAATTAGGTTAGTATTGTGGAGTAAGTACAATGTTGTTGATTCATCCTCGATTTTCTCCGATCACAGCCATTTAACTCTAACTGTTTTAAAATCACCATTGGCCTCATGGTGAAATACCTGAGTGGTTTCCTTCCTCTCCGGCAACTGAGTTAGGAAGGACGTCTGTATCTTTGTAGTGACTGTGTGTATTGATACACCATCCAAAGTGTAATTAATAACTTCACCATGCTCAAAGGGATATTCAATGTATGCTTCTTTTTTTGTTGTTGACCCATCTACCAATAGGTGCCTTCTTTGCGAGGCATTGGAAAACATTCCTGGTGTTTGTGGTTAAATCTGTGTTTGAAATGCACTTCTCAACTGAGGAATCTTACAGATAATTGTATGTGTTGGGTACAGAGATGAGGTAGTCATTCAACAATCATTTTAAACACTATCATTGCACACAGTGAATGA